GCGCTGTAGAGCTGTAGAGATGTAGAGCGCTGGAGAGCGCTGTAGAGCTGTAGAGCTCTACATCCGCCGCGGGACGAGGCGCCTCCGGTGTAGAGCGATGTAGAGGCGCTCTACAGCGTGAAATCTCTACAACAAACTCTACATCATAAGCGGCGAACGAGGCACGTCGCTCTCCGACATGCGCGTTGCACTTGCCAGTGCGGCCCTGGCCTTCTGTCTGCCCGCCCAATGGGTAGGAGGTGCCTCTGCTGCTATGGCATGCCTCACGGCTGCGACTGGCCGGCGCCTCGGCGCGTCAGCTCGGCTCGGCGTAGCGGTAGTGGCCAGCGCAACTCGCCTGGACTCAACGCTCAGCCAGGAGCTCCCGCACGCGCTGGCGCGAGTCATGGCGCATGCAACGCGCCTGAATGCTCGCCTCGCCTCGCGCAAATGCGACCGTCCTCGCAGCCGACAGTCCACCGCCTGCTAAAGAAGCACAGCGATGAATGCGGCACCGGCGACACATGGCAGGCTGGTCATGACGCAGTTATAGGGTGTTGTGTGCCGTCGGAGTGACTCTCTGTGTGTCAGGGATAGTCAGGGCTGTCCATCAGAGCTTCACTAAGCTCGGAGACACCCCATTAGCGCGGCTCGACCTCTTTGAGTCACTGCCTTCCCGGCGGTTTTGCTGTAGAGCCTCTACAACAAACTCTACAACAAAATCGCGCTCTACATCGCTCTACAACGGAGGCGCCTCGTCCCGCGGCGGATGTAGAGCTCTACAGCTCTACAGCGCTCCAGAGCGCTCTACATCTCTACAGCTCTACAGCGCTCTACACTCTACATCCTCTACACCCTCCCTCAGCGCCTCTCTCTCTGCAGAAACAAACGAACGAACGAAACGATCGGGAACGCTTCGGGGGTTAATTCGGTCACTACACAGCCTCGGCCACAATCTCGGTCTCAGTCGCTCACAGCCTCCTCGGAATCAAGCAAGATATTTTTAGCAATACCGTTTGTTTCGGAATCAGTGCATTTGCCACTTATCTAGACACTAGAGAGAGATTTTTGCAATGTCGTATGTCGAAGAGCTGGGGGCAAATACAAACCGCTCCAGAATGTGAATGACCCGGAGGTGACGCCACGGGATGCTGTCTCGGTGAATCCAGTTCCAGACATCCCGGATCCCGCTTGTTACAGGACTCAAGTGCTCATGACGGTCCGGTGGCGAATGGAAAAAGGCGCAACTACAACTCATTGAGCGGACGATCGCTCATTCGTTTCAATGAGTGGACGAATCGTGTCGCACCTCTCACTGATAGGTAGCGCGTAATGGCACCGCCGCGCTCTGCCAGGACTGCCCAGGTGACCGCCATTGCCTTGGTAGCCCTGAGCGTCACTTCGGCTCCAAGTCCGCCGCCACCGCCGGAGCTCAAGTGCAGGCCATGGTGCGGCAGCACGACGCACCGCCTGGACGCCATCTGCAGCTGGAACATTTGCGGAGCCTGTGAATTATGTGCCGCGAGCTCTGCGAGCCCCAATCCGCCGTCCCCACCTCCTCCTCCGGCGGCGTCACCACCACCCATCTGCAAGGAAACGTGCGCCCGAAGGACACAGGGCTGGGATGTGCTCTGCAACTGGAAAACGTGCGGAGGCTGCACGCAGTGCTCGGGGCTCAACCAGCAGGCGTGGGTCGAGTGCGGACGGCAAGGGAGGTGCTCGGAGAGTCCGCGGTGGGCGGACCCGGCCGAGCTGCACCCGGTGCGCTGCTGCTCGGACTTGGAAAAGGACCCACCGTGGCGCAAAAACAAGGATTGCTCAGTCTGGGCGGGGTCAGAGGGCGGAGGGATGGGTGACTGCCCTGGCGACATGACGCTGCTGAAAGCCGAAGCACTTTGCGCGGCCGCCGGCGGACGCCTGTGCACCTCCGGGGAGCTGCTGGACGATTGCAGCAAGGGAACTGGCTGCGGGCACGACAACGATCTCGTCTGGTCGGGAGACCGAGCTTCGCCTTCCAAGTCGCCTCCGCCCTCGCCACCCTCACCGTCGTCGCCTCCGTCGCGATCATGCCGCAAACGCATATCGCTTGCTGTTGGTCAAGTGTGTATGGACGAGCCCACCTTCGCTGGTAATGTCGGGGGAACTGATGCTACGGTGGCGTGTCAGAGTATGTGCGAGGCAGATCCATCGTGCGAGTTTGCTTCCGTCTGGACCACGGGGTGGTGTCGACTCGCTGCAAGCTGTGAACAGACTATGCCGGTGGCGAATGGGCATGTCGTCGCAACCTACTCCTGCTCGACTGTCGCCGCCAGGGCGCAGCCGGATCCGCCCCGGTGCCCGCCCTTTTGCTTTGTCAAGACGCACCATTGGAGAGTGAGGTGCAGCTGGGGTGGCTGCAGCAGTTGTAGTCAGAGCACTTAGCTTTTTTCTTTTTTTTGCCCGCCGGGGCGCGCGACCGTTTGTGCGGACCGCTGTCACCGTGCCTGGCTGCCACATCTCCTCGTCGCCGCCGTCCACGAGCTCGCCTTTTGTAGTGCCTGTCCGAGCCAGTGTAGTTTGTGCCAATAATTCTTTTACGCTCGCCAGTCCGCGCAGGTCAATTCTTTTACACGATCGACGCGTTGCAGGCGGGCCGAGTGGCAGGCGGCGCCGAGTCGACTCGTTACACGCCCAAGTCGACGCGTTGCAGGCGGCGCCGAGTGTGCGGAAGCCATGTCGCAACGAGCGGAACGAAACGCACTGCAGCTAGCCGTACTGGGACTTGGCGGCACCATCGACAAGGACTATCCGAGGACAACAATGGGATACGCGTTTGAGATTGACGAGCCAGCGGCGATCAGGGTGCTCACTGTCGCTCAGGTGGAAGGCTGGCGCTGCGAAAGCGTTTGCAAGAAGGACAGCACGGAGATAACGACCGAAGACCGAGAGAGCTTGGTCATGTCGATCCGGCGGGCGCCGGAGCGTCGGATAGTGGTGACGCACGGCACGGACACGATGATCGAGACCGCGCAGTTTGTGGAGGCGTCAGGTGCAGCAGTGGGCAAATCGGTGGCGTTTGTCGGAGCGATGAAGCCGGAGCGCTTCAAGGACTCGGACGCTACATTCAACGTCGGCGTGGCGGTGGGTGTTACGGACGTGCTCCCGCCCGGCTCGGTCGTCGTCTGCATGGGTGGCCGAGCGATTCCCGCCGCTCGATGCATGAGGGACTTGGACAGTGGCCGCTACGTTGATCAGCCTTGATGGATACCAGACGGCAACATGTGGGCGGGAGAGTGGGCGGCAAACGGATTTTTCTTTTGTGTGTGCCAGTACGACGCAAACAGAGTCCTAGCGTGACCGACGCTGACAGATGCCCACACAGCCCGGGGAACGGGCCGTACCGGTTGCGGCGGGTCACCGGCCGAGAGGCGCCACGGGTGAGGCGGCGCGGGCGGCGCTTTGAACGGTAGGACAAGCCCGTCATCGTCGCCACGGATGTGGACATGTACATGTGTGGAGTCGAGCGGCAGGATCCGGTCCGGCTTTCCGTCGAGTCGGGGTCCGATACCAGGTCGACCCGCCGAGTGGGAAGGTAGGGCATTTCACGAACACACACACCCTCGGCGAGGGTGGGACCTACCAGCCACCACGCTCTCGGCAGAAACATACGGCATGGGTCATGTGCGCGTCATCGGTCATGCGCGCATGCTGTGTGCTCATGGTCATGTGCCGCCAAGCGCCGCGATTTGCGTGTTGTACGTCGCGCGCCGTGGAGTATGTGTTCCGCGGATGTAGCATGCACGCGCGCGCGCGTAACAAAGGGATAGCCAGTGCGGTAACTTAGCCGAGCCACTCAGCGCAAGAGGCACACAGCCCGCGTCTTGGTTTTGCCGGCGTGCCAGAACTGGCGCCATGTGGTACGCAGGTGCATCTCCACTGTGCCCGGGACCCACGCCTCATCTCAACGTTCGGGCACGCCGTGCGGCCGCCGCCGCCGTACAGCGCGGCAATCTCGTGCGGGCACTGCTCACACTTCGCGTCGCAGTGCTGGAGGAACTGCACCGTCTCGTACCCCCGCCTGCGAGCCACCGAGGCCATGGCGTCAAGCTCTTTGTCGCACTGAAGCCTGCCGTTGAAATCCCTGGCCTCCATCGGACCTCGGCTGCACGACGTCCCGAGAAAATGCCGCACAGCCTCCTCATGGCTGCCAAAGGCAATCGTGCGGCCAAGACGAATCCACAGACCGCTACCGGCGGCACGATAGAAATAGGCGGCACTATGCTCAAACTGAGAGCCGCCGCAGTGAGTGACTTCCGCCCACGAGTGATTGGCCACCGCCACATGCCCGCGCCCCCGAAACACTTCTTTGCGGTGCAGGTGCAGTCGCCACGCAAGCTCGAGCGGAGTGTGCACATTGAAGGTAGGAACGAACCGGCCCTTGTCGCAAGCATTCTTCCAGCACGAGTGCCAGCCGAATCTGTGCGGAAAGGTCTGGCGGAGGGCTGCCACGTACTGCCGCGTCACCACCGAGACATTCATCAATGCAGTGAGATTGAGCACATTCAGTCGGGAGGCCAGCTTACTGCTGCAGCTCTCCCCGTACACCCGGCGAAGGTAGGCTCGCACGTCAGCCGGCGAGAAGTCGAGCGCGGGCAGTGGACACAGGGTCGCAGCTGCCATTCTCCAGCAATGCCGAGGAGCGAGCACAACTTTTGTTTGGTGCGCAGCACAAGATCGCTTTGCGTTCACATATATCACGGTTAGATGAAGAAAATACCTCGCGCGTGAGGTGTTCACAGTCAGACAGACCAGAATACCGCGGCTGGTGTTGCGCGCTCCTCATTTTCCTCTTCCCTCCTCTCTTTCCGACCTAGCACCTAGCTCCTAGGCAGGGCGCGGTGGGCGAGAGAGAGAGAGAGAGATTTTTGAAGACCAACAAGAAATCACGACTCTCACAGAGATTTGGGCTCGGCAGCTTGTTAGCCCTCGGCCGAAGCTGGGGCCGGTCCCGTAGCCGAGAGAGCCCGCGCCGATGAGTTCGACGTGGTTGGGGGGGCCAGAGGTCGATACTCTGGACGACCCATAGGATGCCACCAATGCCTGAAGGAGAGGGAGGCGAGGCCAGAGGCAGACTCAGCTGCTCTCGGGTGATCTCGCTTTGGTGGCTGAAGGACCCGATGGTCCTGTCACATTCGTGTTCCGAGTCGTATGGGCTGCGTACGGGTAGAAGATTGCGGGAAGGCATCGAGTCAGATCCTTGTAGTGCAGCGGACCGCCAGGCTCGCCGGCAGCATCCGCAGGGAGGCAGCATATCAGGCGCCAGTCTTCTGGAGAGCTCAACAGCTGCGGCCGCGATGGCGGAGTCGGCCGCGGTTCGAGCGAGCAGCTTTTGGCTGCGGGATCGAATCGCGGAAGGCTCATGCCCTCGCGGAGCGACGCGGGTCGCGCGGCGCGCGCGTGTGCGAAATGCGACAACAGACGACAGACGCCTGACGCCTGAGCGCTGAGCGACTGAACGACCGTCGCCGCAATCGACACCGCCGCCATTTTGACGAGCAGCGCGAGCGCGCTCGTCGGCGGCCAGCCGTCGCGGGCCGGGCCGAGCCCGGCCTCAACCGGCCGCGCCGCCGCAGCAGGCCCGGAGGCCCACATGGCGGCCGACCAGCTGATATAATGATATAAGGAGTCCTTCTTCGGGAGAGAGAGAGAGATTTTTAGCAATACTTTGTTTTTCTTCGGTGGGCGTGCGCGCGGTGCGGTCGGTGAGTGAGGTGTGTGTGTGTGCGTGCGTGTGTGTGGCTGCGACAAGTGTGTGTGTGTGTGTGTGTGTGTGTGTGTGTGTGTGTGTGTGTGTGTGTGTGTGTGTGTGTGTGTGTGTGTGTGTGACTACGACAAGTGAGTGACCATCTGACCATCCGTTTGACGGCACGCAGAAACACCGACAAAAAGAATCCGCGGATCCTGTGACCGATGCCACCCAGCTGGCTCGCTTGGGCTGCTGAGGTGACTGATGTCCCTATCGTGCGTCTGTTGCCGTGGCGCCACACAGAGGTGAGCACGCCGTCCTGTGTCGGCCTACGCCACGACCTTGTGCTGCTTGGGCAGCCCAGTGGAGCAGTCCTCGTGTTCGAGCGGGCCAGCGGTAGTCTGCATCGCGCGTTCCGGCTCGACGACAGCGGCGACGCAGTGACTGCGCTCACGGCCTCGTCGGACTTGCTGCTTGTGGGCCACTCATCGGGTGCGGTGCGGCTTTGGAGTTTGTCCAGCGAGAATGTCGGGGCCACTGCGGCGCTGCACGCCGTCGCTGACCTGCACTCCAGCCTGCACCGCGCGGCGGTCCGGCACGTCCGATTTTTGCCATCGTCCTCCTCGACTCTCGCGGTCAGCTGTGACGAGGCGGGCGTGGCGCAGCTCCTCGAGTATGAGGGTCTGACCGCATACGACGAGTGGAGCCTCCGCCGGCGACGCCTCCTCGACGGCTCCTCCGGTCCCATCACAGCTGCTGAGGCGGCAACGCCCCCAGCATTCCGGACAGCGGCGGCGGGCGCCGGGGTGCGCGCTGCCGCCAGTGGCTCTCGGGTCGACGCCAACGCCACCCTCCTCCTGGTCTGCACGCACCGCCTCTGCATGGTGATTCAGATAACGCCGATCGTGAGGCTGCTCCACCGGGTGCCAATGCCGCCGGCGCTTCAGGCGGAGCCCCTCTGTGCATGGAGGCGCGCGTGGCACCCGCCTCTCGACCCCGCTTCGGCGCTCGAGCGGTCTCGCCTCACAGGGACGTCCCTTCCAGTCTGTTGGCGCGGCGGTGGCGACGAGAGCCTCACTTCGAGGCGTGTGGGACCGTTCCCCGCGGCCTTCGTCCTATCGGCCGGGGCCTCTCTCGACCTCTAGAGCGCCGACGATGGCCGAGCAGGAGAGGGCCCCGCTTTCCGCCTCGCGGCGAGTGTGCCGCTCAGCTCGCCCGCCCGTGCGCTCTCGTGGCTCTGCTGCGGTGCGCTGCTGCTGCTGCATCGCGACGGCTCGCTGCGCGTGTACGAGGAGGAGCCGGGCGAGGACGGTGGCAAAGCCGCCATTCGGTTGCTCGAGGAGGTCCCCAGAGTGAGGGTCCGGGCTCACGTCGAGCTCTCGCACGGCGCTGTCGCCTTCGCCGCGGACGAAGAGAGCCTCGTGCTGCTCAACGTGCCGGCGGCCGGAGTCAGAGCCAGTGGTGCCGCCGAGAGTGATAGCGACGGGCCATCGCTGCTGCCGAACACGGCGCCCCTGCCGCTGAGGCCGCCATTGCACCCATGGCACGTGCAGAACGCGTTCCGTGGCGTGCACCGTAGGCGCCGCTGGTGGTACGGCTGCAGGCGTGGCGCGAGCAGGTGAGTGGTCTCTTGCGGCGCGGGAAGGGTCGGGCGGCGTTGGCCTCGCTACTCCGGATGCTCGCGCACCACCGCTCGAGAGGTCTGCTCGAGCTGGCGGAGGAGGCAGGGAGTTTGTGCGATGTGGTGTCGTCTACCGGCGTCTCGTTCCTCCGGGCAGAGGCGGCGGCCGTGGATCCGGCGGCGGGGGAGCCGACCCCGCCGCACCTCGCCGAGGCTTGTGCAGTTGCGATCGAGGCGGCTCTGTGCGCTGGCACCGGCCCATTGCATGATTTGTTCCGCGGCGTCGCCGCCGAACCGAGCCCCCCGGGGTTGCCGCTGGCGCTCATCGACGCGGCGGTGCCATATGCTCTGAGCGGGGCTTTGCCCGTCAGCGCCATTGACGCCGCTGCTCGACAGCGCGAGAGCGCCGCCGCTCTCGATCTTCTCCTCCGGGCGTTGCGCCTCGGCCTTGCATCCCTGCACGGCGCTTCATCGTCAGAGTCAGCAGAGGCGGCCGTGCAGGCGTTCGTGGCGTCCGCCGCCGACGTTTGCCAGCGGGGCAGTGACGGCAGCCTCGACGCGATTGCGCGGTCTCTGTGGTCCCGTCTGCTCGACGCCCTCTTCCCGCCCGACGGTCCGCTGCCGCAGTCACACCTCCGCCGTCAATGCCTCCGCAGCATCTTCAGCCGGCGCGCCGCGGCAGCGTCGCTCGACGACTTGCTCAGGCTGCGCTCCCACCCCATCGCGCCCCGTTTCTATCCACCGGCGACGCACCTCGTGTGGCCTCTGTAGGACCGCCTCCGTCGCGGGCGCATCGCTGGACGACTTTCGGTCCGCGCTGCTCGAGGCGCTCACTATCTTGCGCGATCAACAGGGGGTTCTCCTCGCGGCCACGGAGCTCCAGCAACACAGCTTGCTGGCGTCGATGGAGTCACACCGGCAGCAAGTCGTGCGCGGCGCCAGCGGGTGGTGCTGCCCCTCCGGGGCGTTGGACTCGGAGGTCACGCCGAGCGCCATCGTCAGCAATGGCAGCAGCAGACCCATTCCTAGTGTGGCGACTTGGAGTGCGTACCCATCCACACGAGATTCGCAGCGCAGGGCGAGTGGTCAGCACAGCAGACGAACAGGGAAGACCAAGACGGTCCCTAGTAACGAAGCTGTCCTGCCTGCTTCCCCCGAGGTTGCAAAGCCCCTCAATCTGCGATGGTCTTGAGCTGTTGCTCAGTGAGCCGTGAGGCTGACGCTGAGCTTTTTGTTGAACGGGCTGTATGCGGATCGCCCTTTACATAGCGAGCGTGTCGCAGTACCCGACGGGGGCCCCGGCCCCGGCACCGCCGCCGGCTAGACCGCCGCCGGCCCGGCGGCCGACCTGGACCTCAGTGTGACTCCCCCCCCACCCCGCCCCCACGCCCCGCCCCCACGCCCCCCCCAAATTTCAGTTCTCCGAGAGTCGCATTTCCCGGCACCGCCGACCAGTGCGCGGAGGCGTCTCGCTGCCGGCCCGAGAGCGCGCGCACGTCCCTCTTCGCGGTGACACTACAGGATGCCCATGCGCCGCTTGTAGTCGGAAACGCTGAGCGTGTTTCGCGGCGCGTCGGACGGTGGCTGCAGCGGCGGCGCGCCACGGACCACCGTGGGCAAGCGAGGCACGGAGGCCACGGGCGCGTCGATGTCGATGTCGATGTCGATGTCGACGGCGTGCGCCTTTGCGCGCCGGCCGACCAGCTCAGGCAGCCGGCCAGCGGCCGCACCACCCGCGCGGCCGCCGCCGACGCGCGGCGAGGGGGCGCTCAGGGCGAGGTCTCCAAATCCGGCGGCGGCGATGTCGGCGACGGCGCGCTCGGCGGGGGGCAATTCTGCGTTGCTGCCCGGCCGCGGTGTCGCGATGAGCTCGCGGAAGCCGGGGCTGATGCCGCTGTCGGCGTGCGGCTCCGCCGGCGCGCTCACGTCGATGGCGAGCTCCGGCGCGGAGGGGGCGGCGCTGGAAGGGCCCGCCCCCTCCGCGGCTGCGGTCGCCGGCTCGGCGGCCTTGCCGATGGTGTAGTAGTTGGTGCCGCGGTTCTCGATGCGTGCGAACGGGTCCTTGACGGAGGGGGCGTCGCCGGCCCGCTGCGCTTTCGCCCTCTCGCCCGCGGTCCGGGCCACGGAGAGCTCAAAGGCGCGGTTGCGCATGTTGATGTCCTTGATGGCGAAGGCCTTGCCCTCGCGCTGCTCCTGCAGCCGCTTCTCGCTCGCCTGCCGCGCCTCGAGCTTCTTCTGCTCCGCCTCGAGCTGCTTGCGCGTCTCCTCGTCGCCCTCGCGCGCGGCGAGCAAGTCCATCGCGAGCGTGGCCTTGTCGGCGGCCGCGCGCCCCTTGGTGAGCCCGAGCTTCTTCTTCTCGGCGACCATCGCGTTGATCTCCTCCTCGGTGTAGTCGTAGTCCTTGCACTTGCGCAGCTCCTCCGCCTTCTGGTCCACCGCCCGCTGCGACGGCCACCGGTCCACCCCGCCCGCCTCCTTGAGCGAGCGGCGGTACTTTTCGAGCTCCTGCACCTCAAAGTTTTGGTTCGAGACAAAGTTCATCGCGAAGGCCTTCTTGGCGCTGCCGATGGCGAGCTCGAGCCGCTTGGTCGTCTTGGCCTTGCCCATCATGTAGGGCTTGAAGCCGTCCTTGACGCCGAGCACCTCCGCCACCTTGTACACCGGCCGGCCGGAGCTCTGCTGTCCGATTCCGATCCGGACGAGGCAGCCCGGCAGCACCCTCTCGAAGAAGGGCTCGAGCAGCCACAGCTCCAGCTTGTTGCGCGTCAGCCGGATCCGCTCGAGCGTCGGCGGGTCCGCGGCCGCCTCGAAGCCGGCGCCCTCCCCTCCGAACCCCTCCATCGGGTCGGCGCTCGCCGCGGGCTCGCGCCGCCGCACGTCGGCGGAGGGGGCGCCCGCCCGCTCCTCCTCCTCCTCCCCCCCCTCGTCGTCGTCGTCGTCGCTGCCGCCCTGCCGCTGCTCCCGGTCGCGGTCCCGCCGCGCCTCCGCCTCCCTCCGCTTCGCGCCCAGCTCCCGCATCTGCGAGGCGCGGTCCTTGCCAGCGGTGGCCTTGCCGCGCGCAGACGAGCGCTTCGTGGCGGCATTCTGGTTGCGCTGCGCCCGGATCTTGGCGCGCACCTCGAGCTGCTCCTTCCGCTGATCGCGCTTCTCGAGGCGCTCTGCGCGGGCGCGGGTGCTGGGTCGGAGAGTGGAGGGCGTGGACGCCACCCGGGGAGGAGGCTCCAGGCCGGCGGAGGTGCCGGGGAGCAGAGCGCAGGCCGAGCGGCGCGAGCAGGCGGCGGCGCACCCGCCAGAATCATCTCGCGCTCGAGCTGCGACTTCGCCATCAGCTCGGCTCGGTCCTGCGCGCCCTTGTACCCCTCCTCGTCGTAGTCGTCCGCCGAGTTGTAGTCCTCCTCCTCCTCCTCCTCCTCGCTCTCCTGTGCCTCCTCCTCCGCCTCGGCACCTCCCTCCCCTCCCGCCGCCGCCGCCGCCTCCGCGCTGTCTGCGGCCTCCTCGTCCGTCTCCACCGCCTCCTCCTCCTCCGCCTCCTCCTCCTCCTCCTCGCTCTCCTCCTCCTCGTCCGACTCGTCGTCGTCACTGCTCGCCTTCCGCCTCAGCTTCTTTCCCCCGTACACCTGCCGCTGGCTGACCTAAAGCACGGCTCCGACAAGGTTCACGCTAGGTTTGCACGGAAGGCACACCTGCCGCTGGCTGACCTGCTTCCCGCCGTACGCCGCGCGCGCGCCCTTGCCCATCCCCACGCCGACTGGCTTGGCCATCTTGCCCTTGCCGATCCCCACGGGCTTCCGCACCTTGCCCATCCCCACGCCGACTGGCTTGGCCATCTTGCCCATCCCGACGCCCACCGCCAGCGCCTTGCCAACCTTGCCGACAGGCGGCGGCGCGCTCGGCACGGCGGGCGCGGCAGGGGGCCTGTCCTCCTCCTCGTCGCCTTCGCCGTCCCACTGGCCAAACTCGTCCTCCTCCTCGTCACCGGCCTCGCCCCGCCCGGCGGCATCGCCGTCCGAACCACCCTCGTCGTCCTCGTCGTCGTCCTCGTCGTCGTCCTCGTCGTCACTGCCGCGCGGCCGCTTGCCGCCGTAGTAGCGGCCCAGCTGCTTCCCGCCGCCGACGGGGCGGATCTGCTTCCCGCCGCCGACGGGGCGGATCTGCTTGCCCAGCGTCCTGGGCTGCTGCATTGCTCCGGAATTCCTGCGCCGATGGGGGGACGCGGACCGTGAGAAAGGCGCGCGGGCGTTCGTTCAGCTTCTTGCGAGCGGCGCGCGACCTGGTGCTGGAGCACACACCTGCACGCCGGCGTGTGGGTTGGGACTCTGGGTACCCTGGGTTCCGGTAACTACCCGGATAGGGGGTCTGTTCGCACTGGCTGGCTCCTCCCAGATAGGTAGGTAGGTTGGTCTTGTTTGGCCCAAAAGGGCCCTGCACTAGGTAGGTACGCCCGATTTTCATCTTTTTTCGCTTCGCTGCGCGGCCTGGGGATAGGTAGGTAGGTAGGGCGTTTTGGCGCGAGTCAGTGCCGACAGACCCCCTATCCGGGTAGGAGCCGGAACCCTGGACACTTCCCTTTTCACAGAGGTTTTCTTTCCCTTCTGTTCGCCGAACCTGAACACCTCTCTCATTCTCTCAACCAGCGTACATATTCCGAGATCGTACATCGGCCGAGCGGCTCGGGGGGTCCGAGATCGTACATCGGCCGAGCGGCTCGGGGGAGCGCGGCGCGCCTCACGCGGTGCGAGCGGCGCGCCAGGAGAGCGCCGCAATGGCCACGAGGCGGAAGGCCACCCCGATGCTCGCGAGCACGAGGACGTTCACCCACCAGTCGCCGGGCTCGATCTGGTTGAGCTCGAGCAGCAGCTCCGCCTCCGCACGCGTGGAGTTGTCCCAGCTGTCCGTCTCCTGCGGCCCAAAGGCGATGAGGGCGAAGAGGTTGTTGCCGTAGCGCAGCGAGCAGAGGTACTGCGCCCAGCGCAGAAAGGGCGGGATCTGCTCGCTCTTGATGAAGAAGCCTGCAAAGAGGATTTGTGGGACGAGGACGGCGGGCGAGACCTGCAGCCCGACCTCGACGTTGGGGACGAGGCAGCCGAGCAGCAGCGCCGTCGAGGCGATGGCGAAGCCCATCAGCCAGAGGGCGAGGATGTAGAGGATGATGGGCCCCTCGAGGGCGATGAGCCAGTACGAGACGAGCCACGTCAGCGCGGCGACTAGGAAGGACTTGGGCACCTCGACGGCGGTCTTGGCGGCGAAGTAGGTTGTCGCAGTGTAGGTGCCCACGCCGTACTCCTTCTTGAAGAGCGCCGCCTCGAGCGGGAAGGAGAGCAGCAGCGGCTGCGCCGCGCCGAACATGCCACCGATCGCGATCTGCGAGATTGCTCCAAAGTGCGTCATCACCTGGTAATTGGGGCGTTCCCGATCGCCCGCCTGGTAAAAGATGCCCGCGAAGAGGAGGTTGAGGCAGCAGGGCGCGGCGATCGCGGCGACGAGGCCGGCGCGGTCGCGCAGCAGCGAGTTCTTCTCGCGCCGCGCGAGGTAATAGACCTCGGTCAGGATGCCGGCGCCGCGCCGAGGAGCCGACCCCGTCCACGCGCCGAGCGACGTGGCGAGGGAGCGCCGCTCGCCGGCCGCGGCGAAGTGTGCGTCGACCGCGGCGGCGGCCGACGCCGCCGCCGTGCTCTTCTTGTTGAGCTCCGCGGCGACACGCTGCAGCTCCTCGACCGGCTTCGTCTGGAGCAGGAACATGGTGTGATCGGCCGGGTTGCTCAGCGGCGGCGGCGCGAGGCCGTGGGCGGCGAGGGAGGAGGGGAGGTCGGCGGCCGCTCCCGAGTAGAAGGTCTCGCCGAGGGAGAGGAAGATGACGTCCGCGAACAGCCCAAACACCTCCGAGCTGGGCTGGTGGATGGTGGAGAGCACCGTGCAGCCCACGGCGGAGAGCTGGCGCAGGTTCTCGACGACGCTGTACGCGGCGTACGAGTCAAGCCCGCTGGTCGGCTCGTCGAGGAAGAGCACCTTTGGCCGCACCACCAGTTCGATGCCGATAGACGTCCGCTTCTTCTCGCCGCCCGAGATGCCGCGCTTGACGGCGTCGCCGACCAGCGTGTCTGCGCACCGCTCGAGCTTGAGCTCGCGCAGGGTCGCCTCGACCAGCTTGCGCTTCTCCGCGAGCGAGACGGTGGCCGGGAGCCGCAAGCCCGCAGAGAACATCAGCGCCTCGCGCGGCGTTTGCGTCGGGCAGAGCACGTCCTCTTGCATGACAAACGCGATCCTGCGCCGATCGGGCTCCTTGCCGTCGACGAGGACCGTGCCCTCAAAGTTTGGCAGTCGGCGGCCGGCGAGCGCGTTGAGGAGCGTGGTCTTCCCAGCTCCGCTCGGCCCCATGATGGCGCAAAACTTTCCACCCTCGACGTAGCCACTCAAACCCTCGCCGCCCGCGCCTTTCAGGATCGGCTTTGGGTTCTTCTTGGAGCCCGCGGTCACCTTGACGCCGCTCCAGCACACGCTCGAGCCCGTGTGGCGGACGCTGCGAGATGACTCGGCCATACGGTGGCGGAGACGGCCAACCTTATGCAACTTCTCCGAAGCGAAAGGGCAAGGGAGACGCCGGAATGCCGAAAGAATCTGTCTGATATAGCCCCAGCCGACCCGCTGTTAACCTCGAGGGGCTCACGCTACTCCCTCCCTGGGTCTCTTCCCACAGGAGTAGCTGTGAAGTGGCTGCGGCAATAGCAGACAGCGAAAGAATTAACTTTCCGCACAGCACAGTAGCACAACAAACAAGGGCGCGGACTTGCGCGGACTCTAACACTCACACGTCATTTGGGGCAAAATCTCTCTCTCGGACTCTCTCTCTCTCTCGGAACTTCAAAAAAAGAATTAACAGCAGCGCCCTCTCACAACACTAGATCTAGGCACGGGACTGACAACAAAGGGCTGTTGAGAGAGATTTTTAGCAATACCTTAACAATACCAAACAACTCTAACACTCACACGTCGTTTGGGGCCTGGAGCCCTGTTCACGCGCGCGCGAGACGTGCAGACAGGGTTTGTTTGCTCTGTTGTGCGAGGCGTGAACCGCGCCATTCGCTCTCACCTGGCAACCCTGTCTGCACGTCTCGCGCGGCGCCGCGCGTGAACAGGGATCCAATGATGTGTGTGTGTTAGAGTTGTTTGTTGTTGCTAAAAATCTCTCTCTCGGGACTGGCACTAACACACCACAAAAAAAATTGAGCGATTCACGGATTGGCGCACTGGCAGTAACACTTTTTTTCACTCACACCTCCCTCTCGCCCTGTTCGGCATGTTTGTTTTCTTTCCGTGTGCCAGAGCCTTTAGTTGTAAAATTCTTTCCGTACAAAGGAAGATGTGAACGAAAGCTCCCCCATCTGTGTGCCCACTGCTGCCCATGTGTCCACAGTCCCTCGCCGCCATAGAGAAGGGGGGGGGGGGGGGGGCTGCCCTGCACCTCGAACCACGAGCTCACAGTTCAGGCCGACAACACTCAGCCCTTCACGCTCGCGCCAGCACCTGCTCGAGCGCGTGCAGGGCCCCAGACGCGCCTCGCGTCTCCGCCCCCGTGTCCGCAGCGCCTGCCGCGAGGGCCGTGTCGCGGCCCTCGCACTGGGCGGTCGTGATGACCGCCTCGAGTCTGGTTGGGCGAGTCCCGGCCATTGCAGCGGCAAGGAGGAGGTCGGGCACGGCCGGCAGGCTGAGGCCGGCCACGCCCTGGACGATCGGCTTGAACGCGGCGACGCAATCCGCCCCCGGGGTGCGGAGGGCGACCGTGCAGAGGAGGAGCACGGGCGCCGCGTAGTGCTTGGGCCCCGAGGCGAGAAGGCGCCGCGCGAATCGCGCGAGGTGCGGGCCAGCAGTGGGCAAGAAGGCCTTGAGGAGCGGCGTCGCGAGCGACCGAATGGCCGCGTCCCCGTCGCCGAGGGCGAAATCGCCGCTCGCCACCGCCACCAAGGCGGCCGTGGTGGTCGTCGGTCCTGTGTCGCCTCGCAGCGAGTCGACCGCCACCGCTGCGTCGCTGAGGCCCTCAAAGGCGGCGAGCGCGGCGGCGCGAGTTGCAAAGGTGTCGGCCGACGCGCCAGACAGCAGCGCGTGCAGCTCGCACAGCTGAATGACCCAGCAATCGAGCAAGGGGGCGGCCACGCCTGCCAACATCTCGGCGACCTCGCGCTTGGGGCTGGAGAGGACGAGCGCTGCCTGCACGCTGCTCGCCAGACGCAGCGACTGGAGGGCGGCTCCACGCGCGGCCTCGGCAACGGCGGGGCCATTGTGCGCAACTGGCAGCCCGCTAGCTGCCGCTCCACCCCAGCAGCCCGCGGCGCACACGTTTCGCAAGAGGGCGGCGAGCAGGCCTCCGGCAAACGCGTCGCCTCCGCCAGAGTCGGCTCGCGGGGGCGGCGGCAGGAGCGTCCCTGCCCGCATCGCGACGAGCAGCGGCTCGTGGTCGAGGCAGAAGCAGAGGGCTGGGTAGACGGTGGCGTGGATGGATGGGTGTGGCGACGCCGTCAGCGCAACTAGTGCCCACGGGAGCAGAGGCTGCTGGACGAGCTGCCCACGGGCGGCGAGCCTTGCGGCAATGTCGCCGAGGAGCGCTCCCGCCTCCTCCGCCAGCGCGAGCGGGAGCGACTTGCGCTGACGCGCGGCGGCCGCCCCCTCGAGCTCCAGCAACGCGGTCTGCGCAGACTCGAGGACGAGGTGGAACAGACCCGTAACCCGCACGTGCTCCGGCTGCAGCGGCAGCAAGAGCCGCACGAGAGACAGCTCCTTGAACCGATCGGCGAGCTCCATGGGCTGGCGCAGGCGGTTAATTGCGAGGCTGAACCACTCGGCGGCCACTTCGGTCCTGCCTAGGCCCTCGACGCACGCGAGGATGCCACACAGCGCCTCCTTGATCGGGCAGCAGTTGACCGCCTCCATCGCCATCGCGATGCTCGGTGTCGCGTTGTTGACCTCATTTGGCACGCGCGGCCAGCGCAGGCGGAAGCTCGCCAGGCCGAGCCGCTCGGTGAGGGCCAAGACCTCTCTCGGCAGCTGGTTGGTCGTGACGCCGACCGGCAAGTGAGCGAGGCCCGCCGACTGGCGGTGGGCCTCGACGATCGACTCGAGCATAGCCCGCAAGAGCTGGCGGAGCGAGCGGTTCTCCTCGACGCTCAAGGCCGACTCGGACTGCGAGTGCATGAGCAGGAGCGCAAGGTTGAGGATACGCGGCATCTCCCCGCACACGGCCGATTGCGCGAGCGGCCGCTGCATCGAGTGGCGGAGCGGCTCGATGAGCATCAGCAGCGCTGCGGCCCTCAGCTGCTCGGTGCTCGCGAGGAGCTCCTCCTCTCCCTCCTCCTCCTCTGGCGCAGGGACCGCCTCGTTCTCCTCGGGCAGCCCCCCGGGCACGGCCGGCGCCGACTCCGCCTCAGTAGCTGCCGCCGCCGAGGCGAACCGAAGCGTTCGCGGCTGCACCCTCGAGGGCTTGCCCGAAAGCGCAACGACGGCAGCCATGATGGGGTCCTCAGCCTGGTCCGCACCGGAGGCGCCTTCGACCACCTCAGACGGCGCGTCGAGTGGTGGCCCGGGCGCGGCTGGGGACTGGTCGTCCCGACCCCCCGGCTGCCCTGCTGATAGCATCGGCGGAGGGCCCGCCGACAGCAGAGGAGGTGGTTTTGCCGACAGCAGAGGCGGTGGTGGAGGAGGCGGCGGCGGCGCCGGGCCCACCGGCGGCGCATGTGGCGGCGGCGCGGGGCTTGCTGCGCTCTGCGCCGACGCGCTGGTGGAGAGGCGCCTCCACACGTGCTGCACTGCAGAGCCCACCGACTCGATGAGGCCTCCCGGGCCGGGGGCGCAGGGTTGCGTGGTGGGCGGCGGTGACTCCTCGAGAGGCTCGCCCTCAATGCGCGCGAGCAGCATCGGCAGCAACTCGGCCGGCGAAGCGTCGAAGGCGATGACTGCGAGCCGCCGCACGAGTGTCGCCGCCTTGTCCGACCGCGAGGCGACTTGGAGCATGAACGACGCAATCACATAAGCGTTGGACGGGGCGGCGGGCTGTCCGGCGGTCGATCGGTCTGCAGGGCGTGCCGACAGCTGGTGCCACAGCGCACCATAGGCATCCCCAGCCTCGCCGGAAGCCGACCACGGCTGGAGTCCGACGATGGCGATTTCGCGCAGGAACTGGAAGGTGGATGACTCCGAGAGCCGGCTGGACGGCAGCGGCTCGAGCTGCAAGTTGGCCAGCCACGGTGAGAGGGTGCGTAGTACCAGCAGCTGTTGCGCTCCGGTCAGGGCGAGCGGCTGAGTCTGCGTGAGGAGGGCTACGCCCCCACGCACGAGAGGCAGCGAGAGCGCCGGGCACTGGGCCGCGACGGCGAGCCGCATCTTCTCGAGATGCGATGAGAGCAGCATCGGCGTGGGCTCGTCGGCGGCGTAGAGGAGCCGACGCGCTCCGAGCGAAGAGCCATCGCACTCGAACCCCTCGGCCGGGCCAAAGGAGTCGGTCAGGCGGCAGATCAGGTCGAACGCCCGCGAGCGCGTGCGCGCGTCGGTCGAGGCGAGGTGGATCATGCCGAACAGCATCAGGCTCGGAGAGGCGGCCTCCACCTCGGACTCAAAGTCGCGGTCCGACGCCGCCGCCGGCCCATCGTCGAGTGCGGCGTCGGCCGGGACAAGCGCATCGACGATGGCGTGAAAGTACCTCGTGGAGAGGCGGGGCGACGAGCCGGCGAAAAAGTAGGCGCGATGGAGGAAGGCGGGGAGGAGATGCTCAAAGTGGTGCCCGAGGAGGCACGCGAGCGTGTTGTGCCCCTCCTCTGCGTGCGTGCTCTCATACCAGCCGAGGAGGTCGAGATCCCGCGACCACGGCCCCGCCTCTGCGATCGCAAGGAGACGGTCGCGCTCCATGACCGGGCCCGACTGCACGAGGAGGAGGATCGCGTGGGCAGAGACCGTCTCGATCCGGAAGAGAGCCTGCTCCTCGAGCGAGCCCACCGCGGGCGTCGAACGCTGCGTCTGCGGCCTTACTCCGCCGGTGGCCAGCGCCGCCAGCGCCTTGTCCTCGCGCCACCGCACCCACCGCATGAGAAGCTCGAGCAGCGAGCAGCGCTCCACGATGGGCCACGAGTTTTGAAGCGATGCGGGCACCATCAGTGGTCGAAGCCAGCGCTTGGGATCGTACCGGACGTCGCCAGCCGTGGCCGCCGCGAGGCTCGCGACGAGCTGCACAACCTCGAGGCACAGCGGGTAGTTGCTTACGCAGGACGGGTCCTCGAGCACGCGCTTGGACTCACGCACAAAGCCCAGGCACAGCTTGAGAAGGCGCTGGTGCTCGGACCGCGCCGCGTCGGATAGCACAGCGCGGCCGAACCCCTCGGTCTGCGTGATGGAGCGAAGCGTGCGCGCCATCGACAGCCGAAGGTCATCCCTGCGCCGAGAGAGGCCCGTCCACCAGGCGGAGAGCGATTCGACGCCCATGGACGCACCGTCGGAGTCCAGGCACGAGGCGAGGAGGGCAACTGAGAGGCCGGTCCAGCCATCCGCGAGGTCCTTGTCCGCCAAAACGGGCCAGAGCCGGTCGGCGAGAGGCTTCGTCACGTTGTACGCCTCGACGACAGCCGCTTCGTGCGGCGGGCACGCATCGACGGTGTGCAGCCCGCTGTCTGTCGACTCCCGTCGCGACCCGCCCCCGAGGAAGCTGTTGAGGAACCCGCGCGTCGACGGCGGCGGCTGCGCGGGCGGCGAGGGCGGCGGCGAGGGCGGGCCCGCGGCGAGGCCGCCGAGCAGAGGAGGAGGCGGCAGGTCCATGCGCCCGCCTCCTCCCGGGAAGAGGACAGGGGGTGGCGGGACCACGTCGCCAGCATCATCGCTGGCATCGCTGGCGAGGGGCGGCGGAGCGAGGCGAGAAGCGCCACTGCGCAGAGGCGGGGGGAGGTGCTCGACGGAGCGAGGGGAGTAGGCATCCCAGCCGACTAAGCCCTGCGCGGTCGCGGCCTTTTGCTGGACAGGGTTGTCGTCCGCATCAGCGCCGCCGCCGCCGCCGAGGTCGGGCATGCTCAAGAGCGTGGGCGTGCCGAGCGCGGGCGTCGGCGCACCGAGTCTCGGTGGCGGCGGCGGCGCGCCGAGAGTCGGCGGCGGGCTGAGCACCGGCGGTGCGCCGAGTGCGGGCGGCGGTGCGCCAAGGATTGCTGGCGGCGGGACAATCTTGGGCGCCGGCTGGGCGGCGCCGCCGAGGAGCGGCGGAGGGGGCGGGAAGAAGGGCGAAGGCGTGTGGAGCGGTGGTGACTGTGCCGGCGGCGGCGGAGGCGGCGCTGGTTTCTTCTCGACCGCCGCGACCTGCATCGGCTTGCACGCGCCACAGAGCGCAAAGAGCGCCTATGGAGGTAGGCAAGGGCTGGTGAGCTCAGAGAGGGGGCGGGGCCGAGGTCCCTTCTTGATGGTGAGCGCCGCGTAGTGGTTGCGCCACAGCACACCCAAGTCCGCGCTGCCATCCGCAACAAAGGCTGCCAGGTCCTTGGAGGCAGGCATCTTGCCGAGTGCCGCGGCGAGGATGCTGCGAAGCCGCGCCGCGCGGAGAGTGCAGCCCTGCCGAAGGAGGCTGCTCGCAATCTCTGCAACGACAAACATGAACTGCGAGCCGATCCCGAGCGAGGCCGGAGGGAGCATGAGCAGCTTGCGCAGCGGCGGGATCTGCATTTGGTCGATGGACGCCTGCGACGGCACCTTGGTGAGCACGCCGTGCGCTGCCTCGGTCAGGTCTCGCCGGATCGCCCGGCGCACAACCGACGCCTCGCAACGATCGAGGATGTGGATCAGGAAGGGTTCCGACGCCTCTTGGCGGTCGATCCGCCCTCGGAGCTCGTCCTCCTCGCGCTGACCCGCCTCCGCCTCGCGATTGTCGCCAGCGGCGCGGTGCTTGCGCGTCGCCGACTCGACGGCGGCGAGCCTGCCGGCCAGCGCCCTCCGGTACGCCTCCTCGTGTGCCGAGTGGAGGGCGGCGATGGCCTCGAGAAGCGCGAGACCTTCGGCCCGAAGCGCGACAGACGGGTGCAGAAGCAGGGACGCGGCAGCCGCGTCCGCCTCGGCCAGCCTCTTGGCAAGCCGGGCGACGGCAGTCCCCTCCGCCTCCTCTTGCAGCGACTCGAGCGGCCACGGCTCGGACGCGATGGAGGCGGCCCACAGGTGAAGCCCCTTCTTGAGATGGAGGGCGAGCGTGAGCAGCTGCGCCTCGACGCCCTGCAGCGCCACGCCATGGTGCTCTTTGCTGCAGAGCAGAGCGCGCGAGCCGCCCGGCGCCTCCACCGCGCGCTCGAGCAGCTTGGCCGTGCAGAGCACCGCTGTCCGCCGCCAGGCCGCGTCCGCCATGAGCTGCTGCAGCGCGACAGAGGTGGCGGTGGCGAGGTCGTGGTCGGAGTGGATGAGCAGCTGTCCGAAGAAGGAGCGGTCCTGCAGGCACTGCGGGGGTAGCACGAGCGGTACGCAGGCCACCGCCTCCCGGTACGTCGCCAGTCGAAGGGCCACCTCCCTGTCCTTGCGCGAGCCGGCAGAGCGGAGGAGCCGCTTCACTGCGTCAGGGTGCTCGGGCTCCGCGGGGGCGAGCGGCGCCAGCGCTAGCCCGCGCTTCTCTGCGCCGACCGCCGCCTCGCAGGCGCCGATGATGGAGAGGAGGCGCGCCGCCTGCGCCTCGAGCTGCCCCGAGAGGAGGCTGTACGAGAGGAGGCGGCGCAGCGCGCAGACGCCGAGAAGCTGGTACTCGGCATCCCTTCCCTCGGCGAGGAGGCGCTCGACCGTGTCCATCGCGACGGTGGGCGAGTGCACCGCGATCTGCCCGACGATGAGCACGACGACGTCGCCGTTCTCGAGCAGCTTGGGCAGCCGCACATGCCTGCCGGTCGACTTGCGCCAAAAGAGCTTCTCGGCCACAAAGCGGAGCCGCTCGTTCATCGCAGCGGTGGACTCATCGCTCTCGTGAGGCATGCGCGAAGTCATGAGCGGCATCTGCCCGGCCTCCTCGTCGGGCGTGGGCGCCCGCCACCACTCGCCGTCGGTTGCGGGGGCGACCGCCGAGGCGGGCAGCTGGGCCCCCCCCGCGAGGAGCCGCAGCACGGCGCAGAGCGCCGGCCGCGAGGTCCGCTCCTCGTAGGCCAGGTCGGTGAGGCACAGCCTCAGCAGGCCAACCTTCTTGCCCCCGAGCAAGCCCTTCGCCACCTTCTTGGACTCCTTGCCGACGTCCATGTGGCAGAACCACATCGCGGCAGGCCCGCGGGACACGAGCAGCGCGGCCGCGGGGAGCGCCAGCCCGGCAAGCTCGCTGCCCTGCTCGAGGCAGTCGAGGTAGAGCGCAACCCACGTCTGTAGCATCGACGCGCCGCCCTCGACCTGCCCCCGCACCTGCTGCACCGCGCCCTCGAGGTTCCAGAGAAGGCAACGCCGAAACGCGGCCGTGTTGAAGGGCCTGCGGCTTTGCGCGGCGAGCCGCGCGAGGAGCTGGAAGAAGGGCTGCACCATGGGCGAGCACGGGTCCTTCGGCAGGGAGATGCGCTGGCAGCCGACGAGGTAAGCCATCGCCTCGTCGGCGCTCAAGTCGGCGTGGAGCTGCTTGTTGAGCTCGGCGCAGGCGGTTTCGAAGGATGAGGTGGAGAGATGGCGGATCACCTCCCGCCACGAGAGCACAGCGCGGCGAGCGAGTGCCTCGTGGAGCGACGGGTGCAGCTGCTGCTGGCCGCCCGAGGAGCATAGGCCGCGAAACGCCAGCTGCAACAGGGCTGCCTCCGAGGAGGGAGGGAGCGGGATACGGTCGGTGCTGCCCTCTGGCCTCTCGCCGAGGATGCAAGCGAGGATGTCAGCCACTGCGAGGGGGACCACGGTGAAGACCAACTCGGCGAGCCGCCCTTCGCCCCTCGCTTGCAGCGCGGCCGCCTTGCGCCCCGTCGGGACGCCGCCGAGGCACGACTCCACACAATTCAGCCTCGAAAGAAGGCTCTGGAAGCCAAATGGCACCTCGCCCGCCTCAAGGTCGCCGGAGGGCGGCATGAGGCGCAGGAGCAGACCGATTGCGCCCTGCTGAAAGTCGAGGCTGCCAGCCACTTTGCTCAGCCGCTCGGTTTGCATGCGGAAGCTCGGCGACGAGCGTGGGAACTCCTGCCACGCCGCGACCGCCGCGGGGCTCTCCTTTGAGCCGGGGACGCCGTGATCGCTGACGACAGCATCGATCGCCGCCGCGAGCGAGGAATGGATGTCCTCGAAGAGGAGCGAGAGGACGGTGTCGGCCATTGAATCGCCGACCTTGCTGGCAAATGGAGGCGGGCCGGGAAGCGATTGCAAAGCGGCGAGCCCGATGAGGAACCAAGGAAGAAATTATGCGATAGCCACTCTCACAGCAGACTGGCTCGGACTGGCACTACAAAAGGCACGGCCAAGGAAGAAAACAAATATGTGGCCCCGCGAGCTGGGAAGGGACCGCCGCAAGCGGCGTGGCGTGGAGCGGTTGAGCATCCCTCCCGGGGCCCCTCTGCGCCGGGGAGGCGTTGTTGGAGGCTAGGACGCAAGCGTCCGTCGCCTTTTTCAAACTCGGGTCCCACTCCGCTACGCTCCGACCCGAATTTGGAGGGCCATGAAGTTTAAGGTGTTGCTGCGCAAAAGGGGCGGGGCGCGGGCGCGCGCCGAGAGCTCTTTTTGGAGACCAGACCTTTCGATGGTTCCATGCTTTCTATGTCTGTCTATCATGCTTCATGACACGACACGCGGTGGTGGGAGCTGGTGGAGCTGTCAGCTGATCGATCCAAGCGGGTGGGGAGTGGGGGGCATGGCTGGGCATGCAGGTCCGCCAGTCGGCCCGGCCTCTGACGTGGTGCTACCGCTGCATTCGCTGAAGAAGAGAGGTGCGACTTGATTGGAGGCACTGGAGGCGAGGCGAAGGGAGGTTGGGCCGGGCCGTGAGGGGCTGATGGCGCTGGCCAGCGCGGGGTGTGAGATGTCGTCGTCGTCGTATACTGCTGGCCCTCAGTTGCCAGGGCTGTGGGCTGCAGAATTGGCGTCTGTGGCGTCTACGCAGGCTCTGCAGCGTGATGGCTGGCGGGACTGCGAGGCTGGCGGCAGCGGAAGGAGAGGCTGGGCTCGAGCCAGGAACAGGCTGGCCAGGTCCGCAGGTGGCTGCGCTCGGGCGAGGCGCGCGCGCGCATGGCAGGCCGAGCAGGCTCGGCATATATGGTGAACCCCCGAGATGTCGCGATGGCGGTCCCGCTTTTCCCGCGATCATTTCGTCCGTCCAATCGAAGGAAGCGCCGGATCGCCCATGTTATGGAGTTAGCCAAACTTGCCACCGTTCTTCGTCCGAGATCCGTGGTTTTTGCACGGTATTCGGATTTTCGCTATTTGGTCGTGTGGGTGTGTATTCCGGGATTTGTCAATGGTACCGCGCGTCGGCGACGCGGGCGCCTTGCGGGCAGAGCCTGTCGAGGACTGGGGCTCCACTCGAGGTCATGTTCATAGATTCCAAAGCATTGTTAATAGCAAAGGGGGGAAAAGGTACCCTCGACCCTCACGCCTGCAACCCTCGCGCGACAGCACACCACTGCTCCGCACGAGACACCGTTGCAGGACCAACCCCAAAACGCGACAGCGCACACAATAGGGAGGGTGGGTGGGGAAGCAAAACAGGCCGTGTGGGGTGTGGGTGTCACGAGGACAGACGTCCACGAAGACGGTGGACGGACGCAAACTCCTTATCCGATTCACACTCACGGCTGTCCTACTGGTTATATAGAAAGTCGGCCGTCTGCTAGCCCCCGGCTCGCCGACGGCGAGAGAGATGCCACGAGGGGTCGCGGTGGCGTCCATCGCCAGGCTCCCTAGCTCAACCGACGACCCTTCGGGATCGACGGCCGATCGTCATGAGCCCTTAGCCAGCGGTAGTTAGTAGGAGCGCATCGATCGGGACGCGGAGGGAAATAAGAAAGGAAGTCAATTCCTCCCAAGCCACATGTACATGTTGTAGGGCAGGGAAGGACAGACACACACACAAAACACACACTCTCTCTCACACAACAAGAGAGAGGCGAAAGACTCCTTATCAGCTGGTCGGCCGCCATGCTGGCCTCCGGGCCTGCTGCGGCGGCGCGGCCGGTTGAGGCCGGGCTCGGCCCGGCCCGCGACGGCTGGCCGCCGACGAGCGCACTCGCGCTGCTCGTCAAAATGGCGGCGGTGGCGATTGCGGCGACGGTCGTTCAGTCGCTCAGCGCTCAGGCGCGTCTGTCGTCTGTCGTCTGTTGTCGCATTTCGCACACGCGCGCGCCGCGCGACCCGCGTCGCTCCGCGAGGGCATGAGCCTTCCGCGGTTCGATCCCGCAGCCAAAAGCTGCTCGCTCGAACCGCGGCCGACTCCGCCATCGCGGCCGCAGCTGTTGAGCTCTCCAGAAGACTGGTGCCTGATATGCTGCCTCCCTGCGGATGCTGCCGGCGAGCCTGGCGGTCCGCTGTACTTCAAGGAGAAGTGCTGACACGATCCCCCCCCGCAATCTTCTACCCCTACAACTCGGAACGCGACTGTGACAGGACCATCGGGTCCTTCGGCCACCAAAGCGAGATCACCCGAGAGCAGCTGAGCCTGCCTCTGGCCTCGCCTCCCTCTCCTTCATCAGGCAGTCGTGGCATCCTATGGGTCGTTGTCCAGAGTATCGACCTCCAGCCAGCCCCACTTTGAGGGCGCCATGAAGTACAGCGATCGCCATCTCGCTGGCCTCTTCGCAAGGCCTCCCGACCGCGTCGAACTCATCGAGACGTGGGCTCTCTCGGCTACAGGACCGGCCCCAGCTTCGGCTGAGGGCTAACAAGCTGCCGAGCCCAAATCACTGTGAGAGTGCCAGAGTCGTGAATTCTTGTTGGTTTTCTAAAATCTCTCTCTCACAACAAGCACAAACAAAAACAAGAAGAAAGAGACAGAGACTCACAACAAACAACCATACTTAGATTACCTAATACGAAACAACTTCAGAAATCGCTCTCTCAGATACACAGCAGCAGCACCAGCACCAGCACCTTTGCAAGCTTTTGGAGTGCTGAAAAAAGAAAGAAAAGCGGGAATCCAAACGAGGGATAGGGGAGGAGGACAGGGTCCACACCTGCACGAGCAGGATTTTGGAAGGACGATCAGGGGGGCAGGCAGGTGGGCTCTCCTGCTCCTGACAAGGGACACGACAGGCTCGCAGCGCGGTGCACGGTGGAATCCCAACTCCACTGGCGGTCTGATCTCCGTCTTCTGGAGCGCCTGTGGCTCGCGAAAAAAGTCGAGAATAAATCGTTCCCCATTTCGCACATGTGTACAGTATTCTTCACTGCGGTGGAGCTCAAACAAGGGTCGCGGCCAGTGGCGAGTGGCGGAGGCAGAGGCAGCTATGCTGGTCTGCGGAGAGACGCTCGGGCCCGACCGCCCGACGTGTCCGAGACCAGGTCCTCTCACAGCCAAGTACGTCTTCGAGGGGCGATCATTCGTCCCTGTCGCCGTCCCGAGGCCGCCGCCGCCGCCTGAGCCGGAACAAGCCGGTGGAGGACCGGGCGGCTCGTCCGACCAGGCGGCGGCGCTCAGCCTGCTCGACCTTTTGACGCCGGACTACGCGAGCCCGGGGACGACGACATCGCGCAGCGGCAGGTGGGCGGGGATTCAGCTGCGGGTGGTCGCACAGGAGTGGCACCGGATGGACGTGGACAAGCGGACGGGCGACAAGCAGCGCGTCCTCTCCAACCAGAGCTCCTTTGCCATCCGCGTGCAAGTCGAGGCGACGGCTGGCAAGCGTCTCCCGCAGGGCATGCAGCTCAAGGCGGCGCTGATGGTGGCTCCGACTAACCGGCCCGCTCTCGAGTCGCTCGCACTCGGGGTGCGCCTCTCGACCTCGCAGACTCCACCCGCCCTACACACCAGCCCATCCTCCTTCCTCTTGCCGACCCGCGCGCGGCTCCGTCCGGTCGCCAGGAGCGGGAGAGGGTCCAGTCGGGCTCGTCGCCGCTCCTCTTTTCATACGCCGCGGGCAGGCCGCGCCGCGAGAGCCGAGCGGCGCTGCAAGCCGCCACGCCAGTCGAGGTTCGGCACGCACCCTCGCATTCCACCCCCTCCCTCCCCTTCTCCCCCAGCGCCAGCACACAGGGCGGAGGCGGCCGCTTCGCCCCCGTCCCCACCCGCAGGACGCCCGCCCGCGCCCATTGCCGCCTCTGCATGCCTGCGGTCAGGTGTCGCTCGACCGCTCCCGCAAGCGCGGCTCGGCCGAGTTCTTCCTCCGGCTGGGCGACCTCGCCCTCTCGGAGCGGCTCGGGCGCGACAGGCGCGCCCCCACGCCGCTCCACCCCTCGCATCGGCCCTCGCCGTGGTGGGCCGCCCCCAAACCCCAACCCCCACCACCCCACCACCCCGCGGTCTTAAAGGCCGTGGTTTTTCTTGCTCATCCCGCCGGAGGTCCCCCCGCCCGGAGACGTGGAGCCCCCCCTGGACGCGCTTTCCCGCCCCCCAGAGGGCGAGGGGGTCCCCGTCGCGTTCCCTTATTGCCCCACCCTGTTTTTCCACGCCATCAGGGGGGTGGGCAATTTGCGGACCAAGGGGCTTTCCCCCCCCCCCCCCCCCCGCGCCCCCCTCGCGCCCTCTCAGCGGACCCGCCCCCCCGCAGGAGCACACTCTCGCCCCAAAGTGCACCGACGACGACCGCTGGCAGCAGCTCTTCGCGGTCCGCTGGCAGGACGCGCACGGCGGCGGCGGCGGCGGCGGGGACGGCGACGACGAGAGCAGCAGTGAAGACAGCGTCGACGTCGGCGGCGGTGGCGTCGGCGGCGGCACAACCGACGCGGCGCGCCACCTCGCGGCGATGGCGTGCTCGCCCCAGCCGCTCTCCGTGTCTGCGAGCTGGAGCAGCGAGGCGCAGCCCGACCTCGCACAGCCCGACCTCGCCGCGCCGCCGCACGGCCAGCCCAGGCCTGCGGAGCCCCCGCCGCCGCAGCCGGCCGTGAAGGCGGCCGGTGGTGCGGCCGGTTTGCGCGGCACAGAGCAGCTCAGCCACGTTGGGCAGCAGCCAACGGCGGTTCCGGCTGCCGCCGCCGCCGCCGCCGCCGCCACTGCCGCCACTGCCGCCATTGCCGCCACTGCCGCCGCCGCCGCCACTGCCGCCACTGCCGCCACTGCCGCCGCAGCCGCCGCAGCCGCTGCGGCGTCCGTCGCGGCCACCTCAAGCGGGAGTCGCGCGGCGGCGGCGGCGGCAGCCGCCGCCGCCGATTTGGAGGCCGCGGCGCGCTGCAACGAGGCGATGTGGGTGACGATTGCCAAGGAGGAGGAGGAGGGCGGTGAGGTGGGCGAGGCGGCCGCGGCGGTAGGCTCAGTGGCGGGGACGGCAGTGGCGGCGGTGGCGAACGGCGTGGTATCGGTGTCGGAGACACGGGCCGAGGGTAGGCTGTCGGAGCCGGAGGCGGCTGCGGAAGCGGCGGAGGAGGCAGAGGAGAACGAGTCCCAAGAGGCGACGCAGCAGCCGCCGCCCTTGTGGCCCGGCGACTCGTCGTCACAAGAGGAGGCCTCTCAGGATGAGATGCCGCTGGGCAAGGAGGCGCAGGTGGTGGACTTGCTGTCGCAGCTGAACCCGCCCGCCCAGGGGCAACGCCAGTCGGCTAAAGGGCAGCAGCAGGCGGCATACGTGTATTTCGAGGCGCCCCGCAAGCAGGCGAGCCCGCTCCAAGCATTGCTGATGCCGGCGGCCAAGCGACCACGCGAGTAGGTGGCAGGTCGAGCTTCGAGTGGGCGCGCGCATGCAGGCTGCATGTGGGTGGCTGGATGTGGAGGCGAGGTGCCGCTGACCGACCGACAGGAGCTCGACGGGACGGCCGTACATGCACACGGGGGAGGCGTCGATAGCCGATGCCGTGGCACCTCTGCGGTGTGGACCCCCATCTTCTGCGTAGAGCACCAGCAGCACGTGCACGCCGACCCGTCTCGTACCCACGTACCAGCATGCACCGCGCGTCGTATTGAGGGGTGCACAGCTGCAGGTGGGGCTGGAGTCCATCCGCCCACTCGATCCGCCCACTGCATGACGCCCGCCGCTGACATGTCGGACCATACAAATTGCATGTTCTCCTTCTGTTGTTTGTCGCCGCAGGTGTTTCACGTACGTACTGACTGTACAGGACACATAGTCTGAGGGTTAGGTTTCTGGAGCCTCGGGTGCTTCTAGACTTTTGATCGGGTCAGGGGAGAGTGCGACTTTTATCACTTCGATCGTCTCGGAGCGGCGGAGCGCCTAACTTTTAGCATTTCGTCTCAAAAAAAATTCGGCGCTCCGGGCCGGAGGCTCGCGCGCCGGAGGTGCAGTAAGTGTAGTAGCTATTGTCCCGCGAAGTAGTTCCCGCACACTATGGCTAGAAAAATGCTGTGCTGCTCGCCTCGAAAGCGCCCCTCGCAATTTTTTTGCGTGCCTGCGGCGCGCGACTTTTACCATTTTGCCCCGGGCGGGCCCACTTTTGTCGTTTTGCCCCAACTCTACGCCTAGGCGTGCTTTTAGCGTAGCGTTTTGACCCAAATCGGCCGAACTTTTAGGATACCCTCAGACTATGACAGGACATGACATACAATGGCATTTCGCATATGCATTTCTTAGAGCCTCTATAACACCTCACAGAGACGCGCAAAAAAGGAATTAAAACACAATACACTACTCAACACTCCACACACAGTCGACAGAGTCACAGAGATACGCCTACATACGTAGTTAAACGTAGATCGCGCATCCCCATCCGCATGCACCTTGCACCCCACACGCCATGTGGGGAGATGCGCACGTGTGGAGCTGGAGGTGTTTGTGGTTGCCAAGTCGGTCGCGCTGCAGCTTTTCCTTTCCGGGGATCTCTGCGCGGCAAACCGGAACACCATATTACTCGAGGTCTCGAGCGCCCCGGTGCATATGCGCCCCTAATCTCTCTCTACGCCGGTGCGCGGCGCTCTAACACATACCGTACATGCAACCCCGAGGGGGGGGGGGGGGGGGGCGCTTCCGCCCGCCCGCTCCAGTATCGTTAGGGTTATGTTCCAGCCCAGTCGGGGGCTGGCTCCGAGACGGTCACTTTGCCGCCTCACCGCGGGAGCTCGAGGACAGCGTCGATGGGCGGGAGCAGCGGCGGCGGCACGAGCTGCTCGGCGCCGAGGAGGATCGACGCCTTCTCCCACGACGCCTTCTCGAGCCGCTCGGGCGCGGCGACGGCGAGCTCGTGCAAGTGCGTCACGCACGGCCAGAGGTCGCGCGCCGCGTACTTGGAGAGCTGCACCGCAGAGAGCGCCTCGCGCGCCAGCCTCGCGAGGTGCGTCTGGCCAGGGAAGGGGCGCGCGGAGAGGCCGCTGCGGGGTGCGGCGCGCTCGTCCTCGGCGGGGTCGGAGAGGTTGAGCCGCGAGCGGTAGAGGTGGATCAGCTTGCCGAGGCAGAGGGCGGCCGCGCCGAGGGCGGACGGCAGGTACTTGAGGCAGCGCTGGTCCTGCAGCGCCAGCTCGAGCACATACCTCGCCAGGAGCGACTCGTCGCGGCAGAGCACCGAGGGCGGCATGAGCGCGGTGAAGCGGCGGACGAAGGAGGCGGGCGTGACAGCGGAGAGGTTGAAGCGAAGCGTCGAGAGGATGAGCCCCTCCATGCGCACGAGGTCGCTTCGCTGGAAGGCGGCGGCGGTAGCCTGCAGGCACGGCGGCGGGGTGGACTCGAGGGCGGAGGGTCGGCTCACACTGGGGCGTGCCACATGGACATGGGGGTGCGCATCGTCTCTTGTCTCCCGGGCCAGGGCGAGAGCCGCCGGGACACGGCCGCCATGGCCGGCAGGGAGAGGGCGTGCGAGGAGGCGAGGGCGTGCGAGGCGAGGGCGGGCGGGGACAGGCAACTGCCGCACCTCCACAAAGTCGTCGAGGGGGGGCGGGAGGCGCTCCTCGTACTTGGCGGCGACCCAGGCGCAGGTGACGCCGACCAGCTGCAGCTTGGAGCGGCGGAGGGGCACGAGGGAGAGGAAGCGGTCGAGGTACTGCACGGCGAGGTGAAGCGTCTCCTCCTGCGGCGGTGGCGGGGCCGGCGTGGGCGGGCGGCAAGGAAGCAGGTGGGGGCGCGGCGATGTGAGGGGGGCAGCGCGAGCGAGGAGAAGGGAGCTCCCCGGGCTGGCGTGAGCAGGGGCGGGGGGAGGGGGGGGGGGGGGTGGGCAGCAGAGGCGCGCGCCGAGAGCTTGTACTCTCGCGAGAGTTCGATGAGCCAGTCGACGAGGATGCTGCGCATGTTGGCGTCGATGTCGGGCTGCAGCCGCAGGGAGTGGAGCTTGAGGGCGTGCGCCTGCGAGCGCTCGAGCTCGCGCACGGCTTGCTGCCCCTCCAGCGCGTACGGGTCGAACGAGTTGCGGCCCTGCAGGCGGGCGTCGGGTGAGTTAGCGGAGGCGTTGGGATCACGTCGGAGGCGGTTGGCTGACGCCTGGATGTACGGAGCGCCACCGATGCACTCGGCTGGGACGCCGTCGGCCCAGAGCGGTGCGCCGACTGGCGCCTCCTCGGCGTCGTTGCCCAGGTTTCTCCGCACCGCCTCGAGGATGGCCTGCCGTCTGGCGTCCCGCTGAGCGGAGGCCGACACGCCATCGGCACTCGACGAGGACGGCGGGGGCGACGTCGGAGGCTTACCGGCGGCCGACTTGGCCCTCGTCATGCGCGGCAGCGCCTCCGCGACCACACCGTCGCGCTGTGTGGGGCAGGTGGAGGGTGCTCAGGCCGGTGCGGTGCGGTGGCGAAAGAGGCGGGAAGCGCGTGCGGCGGGCGCGGGCGGTGGAGGCGCAGGCGGCCAGGCACCTGCCGCTTGCCACCGCGAGGCTGCACGTCGGACGACGACGACGAGGGGCGCGTCACCGGGTCGAGCGAGGAGGAGCGGCGAGTCTTCGGAGCCATTGAGCGTGATACCGTTGACGGTTATGATTTGGCGGGTCCGCCCTTCCTTTTCTTCTTTCTGTCTTGCTAAATAAGGTCGCCTCGCGCAAGCGGCCCGCCCGCCGCGCCGGGAATGGTAACGCCTGCACGCTGCCCGCACTGACAGACTCCCTTCCCGCGAAAGAAAGAGAGGGCAGCTCGCCGGAGAGGTGACGAGTGAATGAACTGACTGACTGACTGACTGAGTGAGTGAGGGAGGGTGTAGACTGTAGAGCGCTCGCTCCCCCGCGCCCATTCCCTGCCTGCCCTCCCCTGCCACGCGCCGTCCGAGCCCTCTCCGCTCTTGCACAGGAGGAAATTGGAATTAATCAGATGGCTTCAACACACCGCCCGATCTACCCTCCGGGGTCCCTCGGCGGTGTGCACCTCGATCCTGGAGCCGAGTGATGGGGTCCCAAAATGTCGTGCTGTGTTCTCAGGCCCAGTGAGGCAGTGCATCCGACTGCCCCGGATCCAGCTGAACGAGCTCCTCTTGTAGCATGTTGAGCACTCTCATGGTCTTGCTGTGATCCACGGTCGCAGCTGGAGAGGAGGTCCTGGGGAACGGGAACTGATGGACCTCTCTCCAGCGGAGGGAACGACACGGCCCGATTTCTTCTGGGTCGCGTACACCTCCCGCCGTTCGGTGAGCTTGCGCCTTGTGCATGCCGATGGCAGCCCATGTGGCGAACGGCATGCGCTGGGGTGTTCATGGGGTCCCGTACCATGCGGAATCGACCCTATCCAGTGCTCAAGTGCTCAAATCTCTACAACAAACTCTACGTCATTTAAGCGGCGAACGAGGCATGGTCGCTCTCCGACATGAGGCGCGTTGCACTTGCCAGTGCTGCCCTGGCCTTCTGTCTGCCCGCCCAATGGGTGGCAGGTGCCAAGGGCAAAGGTAAGCCACCGTGCTTCTACTCTGCCGACCGCACGGCCGCTTCGGGAGCAGAAATGTGCCGGGTTAGTGCCGGGTTATCGTAATCCTTTTGCGCGTAAATTAGCGAAAGAAAAAAGAAAACAGACACGCCAAACGAGGGATGGGACGAGGACAGGGTCCCCACCTGCACGAGCAGGATTTTGGAAGGACGATCAGGGGGACAGGTGGGGCTCTCCTGCTCCTGACAAGGGACACGACAGGCTCGCAGCGCGGTGCGCGGTGGACTCCCACATCCACTGGCGGTCTCATCTCAGTCTAGCGACCTGCCTCCAGCTTGTCGCTGGCAGTCTCTCCTACCACAGGCACACTGACACAGGGGTGGCAGGGGCGGCGGCACGAGTCTCCCACATACTATGCGGGCCTCACTAGAGGTGCAGCCTGTGCGTGTCTTCGCCCTTGAGGGGGGAGGGGAAGTAAATTAGCGAGCTCCGCGCTAACGTGAAGTGAAAATTCTTTTGTACCAGCGACGCGTGCTGAGGCTCTTGCCATGGTGAGCCTCACGACAGCCCGCCCCTGCGGCTGGAATGTCGCGCCGTCACGCCGTCGGGGCGGCGAGGGGCGCGCACCGGGCCGGCGATCGGCCGCGTCCGCCCCCCCGCCCCTTTTCGTGGCCTCCCGGCCCCTGCGTCGTCGGCCGGCGTCGTCCCGCTCTGCCCTGCCCTCTCTTCAACCGCGCTGCCGCAGCGTCGCGGGAACCCACTCGCCCCCTTGCCCCGGCGGCAGGTCAAGAAGGTCGGCGAGCCGTGCACGCTCTACTGCAAGGGCCGTATCCTCGGATACAAGAGGCGCGCCGCCCCCGCTCTCCGCGCATGGGGGGGCGTCGCGTCGGGCGCGGCCGCGTGGCTCGGCTTGCGAGGGCGGGCGGCCTGACGGCTGGCTCCGCGCGCCGCAACCTCGCAGGAGTAAGGTGAACCAGTACGAGAACCAGTCGCTCATCAAGATTGAGAATGTCAACTCGAAGTGCGACACGGAGTTTTACATGGGCAAGCGGTGCGCCCTCGTGGCGGGGAGGGGAAGGGAAGGGAGGGGAGGGGAGGGCGCTGTGCGCTGTGCGCTGTTGCTGCCGCCGTCGCAACGCCGCCGGATGTGGGGGAAGTGGGGGGAGGGGCGTTTGGCGTGCCGTCGCCGTGAAGGGGCGGACGGGCAGGAGGCGGACGCCAGGGCCCGCAGTCTGTTGGTCGGGCTGGGGAGGGCGTTTCCGCGCGGCTGCTCTGCGCGTGCGGCCCACCGCCCCCACCCCACCCCCACCCCCACCCCCACAGGGTGGCCTACATCTACAAGGCCAAGCGGGAGATCAACGGCAGCAAGTTCCGGGTCATCTGGGGCAAGGTCTGCAGGGCGCACGGCAACAACGGCGTGGTGCGCGCCAAGTTCCGGAAGAACCTGCCGCCCTCGTCCATCGCCGGCCCGTGCCGGGTCATGCTCTACCCGTCTCGCATCTAGAGTCGCGCCGCGCGCTAGAGAGACGTGAATGTGCCCTCATCCCTTTCCCGCGAGTGACGAGACCGAGGCGCGCAAATAGATAGCTTCTCGGTCGTTTGTGTCATGTATAACAGCCCGACTGCACGTTTGATGTGTTGTTGTGCGCTGCGGACTGCCGGCGAGGCGCCCCTCTCGCCTCGCTGGCTCTGGCCTCTGCGCTCCTCTCGGCACTCACTCATCTCCTACTCTCTCGGGGGACCTTGCCCCTCTATGGCACAGCGCCACAGGCCGCCCTCTCAACCTCTCGAAAGAAGCGCCGTGCGCTCCTCCGCTCTCGCCCGCCTCACGGCTCCGAACTAGGCTGCGAAACCGTGCGGTTACTCTTTCAAGCTGGGCGCCACGGCTAGGCCGCAGCCACGCCTTGACCAGGACGCTCAGCTGACTGCACTCGCCGCCTTAACCGCACAAGTCGCGCGCGCTGGACGCCTGCGTCATGCTGATCGCGCGCAAGGAAGGGCTCGCCAATGAGACGCGGCAGCGGCAAGTGGCGATCCGCGAGCGGGAGCTGCTCTACTACACAAAGAACTGCCGCATGCTCGGCGACCTGGCTGCTCTGGTCGCCGGTTTCGCGTACTCGGGAATCCGCTACCACTACCTGCTCGAGCGTCAGACCTCGTTCAGGGCGGGCGAGGGCGACGCACTTGCTGAGATGGTCTTTCTCTCGCTGCTGACCGCCTGCATGGGCCTCGGCCTGCAGACCGTGCTCATCGCGATGCTGGTGGCGATGCTCGGGCCGTCGCTGGCGCTGCGCGGGCCGGACGGCTCCCTCGCCGACGCGGTGGCGGGGATGCAGGGCTACACCAAGGCGATGCTCGCCCTTCACCGCTTCGGTCGGCCCTGCCCTGGACCTCTCCGGGACTGTCTACAGGTGATGCTCGCCACCTTCATGGCTGCGCTCGGGCTGCTGCTGCTCTCGGCCCTCACTTCCCGCTGCGGCCTCTCACGGATGCGCCGACCCTCACCCTAAAGGCTGGCCTCCGCGCCCTCATCAGGTGCTGTCCTTCACGTTTGGACACTCGCAGATGGGGCCCTCCTCGCGCGTGGTGCTCTGCTCGACGATCCTCGCGATCATCGGCGGCACCGTCCGGTACTCGCGCATCGTCCTGCGCGTCTTCCGGCTGCCCGACGCTGCGGCGGTCTCGGGCGCATTCTTCGACGAGCACGGCGCCTGCAGCACCGGCACCGCTTGCTGTAGCACCGGACCGGGCGCGGCTCTCGCGGATGCTGACGGCGAGGACGGCGACGGGGCGGTCGCGGTCGGGGCGTCGCTTTTGCCGCGCCGCAGCCAGCAGAGGTCGTCCTCCGGACGGAGCCGAGGGAGCGGCCGGCGCAGCAGCGGGCTGGTGTCGGCCGCGTTCGGGTCGCTGTTGGGGGCCGGGCCGGGCAGGAACTTGGACGTCGGCTGCCGAGAGAAGCAAAAGGCCAGAGGGCCGGCCTCGGCCAGTTCAGAGCTGAGGCCGCTCTTTTATGGCGGTACAGAGGATTGACTCCGGTTCTGTAGTTTAGCGTTCCGTCAGTTTGCTGTCGACACTCGCTGCTCCTTGCTGCGCCCGTCTTCCGCGTGAGGCGTGTGTGCACATGACAACATACAACAACACATGTACATGTTGCACATGCACAGCAACACACAGTGCACACACCCCGACCCGCACCCGGCGAAAGAGACACACTGCGTGCGTCGTCCGCGGTCCGGTCGACGCAGCTCGCAGGGGGGGGGCTCGAGGGGGCGCATCGGCCATCGCAGGGGGGCGGGGGCGCCCCTAGGGCGCGGGTCACATGCAACGATTGCCAAAAACAAAATATGAGATGTACTGCGCGGCCGCGCAATTGCCGCCCCCCGGCCCTGGCCCCTGCGGCCTGGTCCCGCGGAAAGATCGCGGAGACCCCGGAGACGCGGAGCGTGCGGATTGCGCAGTCAAAGCTCGACAACCGAACGCGCGTTGAACCATGCGCGGTAGGGTACTCCTGTATGTACGGGGAACTGGGGATGCTGCCCCTCTCGTGGCGAGTCCCTGCGCGTCTGGCCGGTCGTGGCCGCCGGCTCCGCCTTGGGCTGTGACGGGAGGCTGCCGCTCTAGCTCGCGGCCTGGTCGCTGGCAGCCGCCGCGGCCGCTTGCGAGCACTGCACCCACTTGTCTAGGGTGGAGATGGGTGAGCCTACGCGGCGGGGGCGAGAACGTGTGGGAACGCGCGCGAAGGTGCCAGCTTCGAGCGCGGCGGGCGGCGAGCCGGCGGCGATGGCCTCGCTCGCGAGCTTGCAGCCGGCCTGCAGCGTCGGAGCGACGCCGGCGACGTAGAGTCCGGCGCCGGCGTTGAGGGCGACCGTGTCGGCGATGGGTCCGGGGAGCGTCCCCGAGAGCACCTATGGGGCAAGGGAAGGGGAGGCATCTCCACATGCCGGTGTGGGGCAAGGGCCGGGCGGTCCCTCGCGTCGCCACGCCCTGCGGCGGGCGTCCCTCGACAGTGCAAGGCCGGGTGCGTGTGGGGGAGCAGAGCGTGCGAGGTGCGTGCGTGTGTGGCGTGTGCGTGGTGCGTGTGAGCACCTTGCGCAGTGAGGCGGCGTTCTCCACGCAGTCGCCGCCCTTGAGGTCGTCCTAACAGCGCACGGGCGACGAGGAATGTGTCCAGGACGCCTCTGGCAGCGCAGCGTCGCGGAAGGCTGGGCTGCAATGGAGCAAACGGCAAAGCCGAGCCGAGTGCAGTCCAGCGTCGAGTACTCGACGCCGGCAGGTGTGACCGTCGCCACGCTCGCCTGGTCCATGGATCCTCTCGTCAGGCTCGGCTGATCATGGACGCATTCGTACTGCGGTCGCCGCCGCGATCGCCTCGCCGATGGGCGCGAGTTCGTCGAGGCCGCAGCAGTGCACCACCTGCGGCGACGAGGTGCGCGGCCTCGGGCTCTCGGCCGTCCAGCCGTGGGCTGCAGCTCACGGGAGAGAGGAGGGAGGGAGAGAGGAGGGAGGGAGAGAGGAGGGAGGGAGAGAGGAGGGAGGGAGAGAGGAGGGAGGGAGAGAGGAGGGAGGGAGAGAGGAGGGAGGGAGGGAGGAGGGAGGGAGAGAGGAGGGAGGGAGAGAGGGAGGGAGAGGCGAGGGTCACTGAGGGGCACCATGATCAGCTCAGCGCCCAGCGCGTGCAGCGCCTCCGCCACGAGGGCGACGAGCGAGGGTGCGTAGACGCCGATCACGCCGCGGGTGCACGCGGCTGGGTTGATGAGAGGCCCGAGGATGTTGAAGACCGTGCGCACGCCGAGCGCCTGCGCAGCGAGGGCGTTCGTGAGGCGGCGGTGCAGTGAGGGCAGCAGGGACGGGAGAGGCGGCCGCGAGGAGAGACGGCAGGATGGACAGCAGGCGGTAGCGGAGCGGTGAGGCGGCGAGCCTTGCGCACGGGCACGATGTTCTTCATGGCAGGGTGGAAGCCGGGCGCAAACATGAAGGCGATGCCGGCTTGGGCGATGCAGGCTTCAATCCCGCTGGGCGGTAGCGCCAGCGACACGCCCACCTCCTCCAGCACATCCGCTGAGCCGCACTTTGACGAGACAGACCGGTTGCCATGCTTTGCCACCGCCGCGCCGCAAGCGGCAGCGACGACCGACGCGGCGGTCGAGATGTTGACGGTGTGATGGCCGTCGCCGCCAGTGCCGACGATGTCGATACACGGCCGCGCCGGACTCACAGTCAGCATGTGCCTCCGCATCGTCCGCACCATGCCGGCCACCTCTGCCGGCGTCTCGCCCTTTGAGCGCAGCAGCACCAGCAGCGCGGCGGCCTGGCACGGGTCGGCGCCGGCGATGATTGCCTCGGCCGCCGCAGCGCTCTGATCGAGGGTGAGGTCCTGGCGCTGCACGAGAGCCTCTATCGTGTCCTTCATTTCTCGGCAGTTTTGTGCCACGCACACGAGCGAGTCGGTGCGCCGGGAGCGAGGTGCAGAAGACAAAAAAACAACCCGGCGGTTGATGACTGCACTCGTGCTCCAAGCACGATGCATCCGAAGGGGACCCCAGCGCCGGCATCATCCGTAGAGGCACGAGTGTTCGAAGAGAGAGTGGACCTGAGCAACAACATGACTTGGAGGCAAATGATCGGAGTGGGAGTCAGAAATGTGGTCCTTGCGCGAGGGGAGCTCGATAGACTCGAGGGGCCAGGATATGCAGCAAGGAGGGCGGAGCTGCGCCGAAAGGCGAAAGAAGCCGAGAGAACAAGGGAACGGCAGGCGGCGGCGGCGCAGGACGAGGCAGAAGAGAATGACGCGACAGAGGAGGAAGTGACAAGGGAGAGAACGACGAGAGTGGGACGGCCGCGAGGTGGCATGAAGGTTGCAGCGAGAATCGGCGAGAGACTGCGAAAAGAGATAGGAAGAGGCAGACTCCCTAGGGTGGGCGACGGCTAGCGCACCACACACCAACACCTCTCCTTAAAATCCCTGTGTGGTGGCGGCGTGCCGTCCTCCCATCCCTCCCTTGGGTTGTCTGTTTTCTTTCTTTCTTTCTTTTTGTGCTCCAAGTGCAGCTAAGTGCTCTCAGCGGAGCTGGGAATAGGACCGCCGCAAGCGGCGTGGCGTGGAGCGGTTGAGCATCCCTCCGGGGGCCCCTCTGCGCCGGGGAGGCGTTGTTGGAGGCTAGCTAGGACGCAAGCTAGGGTGCCCACAGGACCCAAAAAAAGAAATGAAAAAAGAAATGGGGCACTCCCGATCGCAGCACTTCATGTTGGCCAGTCGAGATATTGAGAGAGTGACTAGGAGGGTGGCACGCTGGGGATTCTCAAAGGTACCCTTGGAATGGCCGGATCCAGCCTTAAAAGTACGAGATCGCGCGCGCTTCGCGCACAGCACCGCCTGTTCTCCGCGGCTGTGTGACGACGCGTGCCGTGTGCCAGCAGAGTTGGGCGGCGCGGCGCGACGGCGCCCGCGAGGGAAGGCGCGGGTGCAGCGGCCGCCGGCGGCCGTGCCGCCCGCCAGCCGGCGCAGCAGCGGCCAGCGCAGCGGCCGCCGGCGCAGCAGCCAGAGCAGCCGTGCGCGCCTTGCGAGGCGAGTACTGCCGCCCGGCAGCCTTGAGGCGGCCGGGCGGCAGTACTCGTTCGAACTTTGCGAGCCGTGCGCGCGCCGAGGCGCCCGCGGCGCGCGCCCGCCCGGCTGCCAGTAGGAGGCGGCGCAATATGGCCTATAGTACAGCCCTTGAGGAGGAGGAAGAGGCTGGCTGGCAGTGCTGTATGCCGCCGAGGGGCAGTTTTGGGGTGCTGTCACGGGCCCAGGGGGCTGCAGAAGGCGTCCGCAGCCGGGACAACCCGCCCCCCCAGCCGAGGCCGGTCGAAGCCCACTTGAGCACAGCCATGAGGAGTCCTCTTGGTGCTCCTGGCGGCCGTTGGAATGGCGAGCGCGCGCCGATGGGGGGGGGGGGGTCTTGCTTGCTCCACACCGAGCGCCATCGGTCCGGACCGGCGTGCTCACCGAGGGGTGGCCTGCACAAGGTCTGAGCCGCGGGCGCTCGGCGCCAAGTGCAGTGTCACGCTCGCGCTCGCGCGTGACAAACCGGGGAACCCTCGTTTCCTATGTACTCGGTCCCCCAACGGAAGAGGCCTCGCTCCTATTGGAACAAGCCAACATCAGATTTGCCTCGTGCGTCCCTTTTTCAGTGTACGTACTTTTAGCTTACTGGGAGAAAAGAGAGAGGGTAGCTCTTACGTACATTCCCGTAGGAGACTCTGCTGACAGGGTTTTTGAGCCGGAAAGCTATTTTCTTTTGGGTCCTGTGGGCACCCTACGCAAGCGTCCTTCCCCTTTTTCAAACTCGGGGCCCACTCCGCTGCGCTCCGACCCGAATTTGGAGGGCCATGAAGTTTAAGGTGTTGCTGCGCAAAAGGGGCGGGGCGCGGGCGCGCGCAGCCCGCCGAGAGCTCTTTTTGGAGACCAGACCTTTCGATGCACGATGGTTCATGCTTTCTATGTCTATCTATCATGCTTCATGACACGACACGCGGTGGTGGGAGCTGGTGGAGCTGTCAGCTGATCGATCCAAGCGGGTGGGGAGTGGGGGGCATGGCTGGGCATGCAGGTCCGCCAGTCGGCCCGGCCTCTGACGTGGTTCTGCCGCTGCATTCGCTGAAGAAGAGAGGTGCGACGGCTTGATTTGGAGGCACTGGAGGCGAGGGTGGGGAAGGGAAGGTTGGGCCGGGCCGTGAGGGGCTGATGGCGCTGGCCAGCGCGGGGTGTGAGATGCCGTCGTCGTCGTATACTGCTGGCCCTCGCCCTCAGTTGCCAGGGCTGTGGGCTGCAGAATTGGCGTCTGTGGCGTCTACGCAGGCTCTGCAGCATGATGGCTGGCGGGACTGCGAGGCCGGCGGCAGCGGAAGGAGAGGCTGGGCTCGAGCCAGGAACAGGCTGGCCAGGTCCGCAGGTGGCTGCGCTCGGGCGAGGCGCGCGCGCGCACATGGCAGGCCGAGCAGGCTCGGCATATATGGTGAACCCCCGATGTCGCAATGGCGGTCCCGCTTTTCCGCGGAGTTAGCCAAACTTGAACCGACGTTCTTCGGCTGAGATTCCGTGGTTTTTGCACGGTATTTGGATTTTCGCTAGTTGGTCGTGTGGGTGTGTATTCCGGGATTAGTCAATGGTACCGCGTCGGCGACGCGGGCGCCTTGCGGGCAGAGCCCTTAGCCACCCTTTGTCTTGCGCGGTAAAAAGATAAGTTTTGAGAAGGGTTGCCCGGCCAAGTGCTCCAAGTTCCCGGCCGCGGGTTGCTGCGCAAAAGCTTTTGTGTGCGAGGGTTCGCGCTGCGCTAGGCTCAGAGCGAGTTCGCGCTGCGCTAGGCTCAGACGGCGAGTTCGCGCTGCGCTGGCTGGCTAGGTAGGCTGAGACTACCCTCTACCTACCCTGGAAATTCGACCCCTTTTCTGGGGACTGGGCTCACAAGCTGAAGATGTTCATTCACGGGCCCTCACACGGAGGTGGGGAGCCGCGGGTACTCTTACACTTTAGGTTTAGCTGTACTCGTCTAGCTCTAGGCAGGGTTTGCTTGCTCGTTGCAGCTGGAAATTAAGACAACAACAAACGAGCTCGGAGCTGACCTCTTTGTCACTTTCTGGCCGCGTCCCTCCCCTGTCCGAGGTGCAGCGCGAAAAAAAGACAATCAAAGCGCGGGGCCGCGATCGCCCGAGATCGCGCTCGATTCGGCGGCTAAAAGAAAGAAAGAAAGCCGACAACCCAAACGAGGGATTGGACGAGGACAGGGTCCCCACCTGCACGAGCAGGATTTTGGATTCGGCGGCTTCGCTTCCCTGATGCCTGAAACCGTTGAACTTTACTTATGGCCCATTCCCTGCGAACGCGCACCCCCCAGGGCTAGCTAGGTAGGGCTCTCTCTCTCGCCCGCAACCCGATGCCAATCGTCCGGCCCGCTGGGTGCGCTTCTGAGCTCCCCTGCCCTGGGCGTGCGGTGGTGCGGTTGATGACCGCACTCCAAGTGCTCCAAGTTTACGTATTCGGGTTTTGCTATTTGCTCGGTGCGTCGGTGGGGGCATTGCAGATTTGTCAATGGTACCGCGTCTGCGACGCGGGCACCTTGCGGGCAGAGCCCTTAGCCACCCTTAATCTTGCGCGGTCAGAATTTGTCATCCCGCGCGCAACAAAACGCATTCATGTCGCCCCGCACTTCGGAGGACGGGGCAGGAGGGAGAGGACGACGAGAGTGGGACGACCGCGAGGTGGCATGAAGGTCGCTGCGAGAATTGGCTGCGAGAATTGGCGAGAGACTGCGAAGAGAGCTAGGAAGAGGGATATAGGGGAAGAGGCAGACGCCCAAGCCCCAAGGGTGGGCGACGGCTAGCACCACACTCCTCACCTTCATGCTTCAAATCGCCCTGTCGGTGGTGGCGGCTGGCGGCGTGCCGTTCTCCGCCATCTCTTCCCCTTGGGTCGTGTTTTTCTTTTATTTTTTTCGACGAGTTCGCAGTCGCCCCGAAACCCTCTACAGACTACACCGCCTCTTCCTCTCTGAAAGAGCTCTCACATGTCCGCGACATCACGACCGCTCTCTCGCAGAGCACTCCACATATCATACGTACACATATTATGACGTCCGGCCATCACGCCATAGTCTGAGGGTTAGGTTTCTGGAGCCTCGGGTGCTTTTACGCTTTTGAACGGGTCTCAGGGCGGGAGAGTGCGACTTTTACCACTTTGGTCGTCTCGGAGCGCCCAACTTTTAGCATTTTTCAATTTTTCTTCGGCGCTGCGCGCCGGGTGCAGTAAGTACTAGCTATCGTCCCGCAAACGGCAGAAGTAGTTCCTGCACACTATGCCTCCCCTAGAGCCTAGTGGCTGCCTAGAAAAATGCTGGCGCTCGCCTCGAAAGCGCCCGCCGGTGTGTGTCCAAACATGTAGCGCTACAAGTTTGTAACGGATAAGGGCGCTGCTGCGCACGAGGCTGAGGCGCGCTGAGCCCGGGGCTCTTTGCGGCGGCGGCGATGCGAAAGGTCCAAAAGCTGTCCAAAAGGATCTGGTGGCGATATGAAGGTGGTGGAGCTCAAGGAGGAGCTGGGCGAGCGTGGCGAGGCCCTCTCGGGCAACAAGGCGTGGCTGCGCCGCCGGCTGCACGCCGCTATAGTGAGCGAGTATTTCAAGAGCGCCGCGGGCGCCGCCAGAGAGTAGAATGTCTACACAAAAATCGCGCGCGCCGCGCGCCTGCGGCGCGCGACTTTTACCAGTTTGCCCCGGGCGGGCCCACTTTTGTCGTTTTGCCCCAAATCTACGCACGTGCGTGCTTTTAGCGTTTTGACCCAAATCGGCCGAACTCTTTTAGGATACACCCTCACGACTATAGAGTTTTTCCCACTCCCTCAGTAGCCGTCGTACTCGACCTCGTGCACGAACCACGATCCGTCCGTCCCCGTCCTCCTCCCGCGCCATGACGGTCGCAGGGTACCACCGCTCATTGTCGCAGAAGATCTCGAGGCGCGATCCGGTGGACAGGACAGTGTGGCCGTCGAGCGCCGCCCTGGCATCCTCGCGCTTTCGCTTCCGGCGCATCGCCTTCGTCTCCTTGCTGCGCAGCAGGGTGTAAGTAGTTCGGGCCCACCTCCGCCACGCTGTCCAGCACGTGGACGGCGCTCGCCATCTCGACCGCGTCGTCCTCCGGCGGAAGCTCCGCGTCGCCCGCGGCCGCTTCCCGAGCGCGCTCGTCGCGCATCTGCTCGTGGTGGGCCACGAGCCGACGCGCCACGCCGGCGCCCGTGTGCCTCGCGCCGCCAGGTCGTCCCACAAGGTCGTCCCAATGAGGACGCATCCAACCCGCCGCATTTCGCCCGCCGAAAAGTCTCACACTCGCGCCCTGCCCCAAACCTAAATCGTCTCACTATTTACATACAATCGTCTCACTAGTTACATACATACATTATCACGCACACAACTACACGGCAACCCCCCCGGCGCCGGCCGACGTGCGACGTTGAACCAGCTACCAGGTGCGTCGAGCCCGTGCTGGAGACACGGGCCGCGGCTTGCACACGTCACACGTCGTTTCAACGTCAGAAGGGGGTGATCTGGGCATCGACCCCCAGCGGTTTTAATGTATACACACTCTATGCCAGAGACCTCCCCCCCCTCCTCTTAGCCCCCCGCCTTGGCGACATCCGACATACAAGCAACCCCTCGTGGCGAACCCCACTAATCTGCCCTGCCTAGCCTGAGCTCTCCACCAATGGCAGCATAAGAGAGCCATGGTGCGAGTCGTGCGCGCTTGCCTCCACATGCGCGGCCCCGTATTGGGCTGTCCGCGCACGCATCATGTGGCGCTTTGGCAGCCGGGCAGCAATACCGTGTGCGCGTGGCACACGATTTACGAGCCTCACCCACCCGCGGGGCCGCCGCCCGTAATGCTACTACCTGCGTCGGGGGGAGGGTCACATGCTCGGAGGTCACACGAGGGTGGGGCGCGCGCTCACAGGCGAGGGAGCAGGCACCTCCGACGCGGCCCATCGGTCGCCGCCCGGGTCCGCCGCCGCCACCGCCGCCGCCACCACCACCGCCGCCGCCGCCGCCAAACCCGCCTCTGCGCACCTGCCGCCGCGGCGCTCCCTTTTGCTTGATCGCATCTGGATTGAACAGCGTCGCAAAGAAAAAGGCGATGAGAGCGTAGACCTGGTTCGGAAGATTGAGCAGCTCCTCCATGAAGGACCGTTGCTCGATCACTTGCCCATTCCGAAGGTACGGCATGATCGGCCCTGAGGACTCGTCCGGCTTTTTGAGGACTCCTCAGCAGCTTCTGGACGCCGGCGCTCCGAGTGTGTTTCCAAAAAAGAAATCAGGCCTCATAAGGGGCCTGTGCCCTCGGTACTGACATCCCTGTGTGGCGGGCAAGTTTTTTCTTCCTTTTGGGGGATCGCCAGCAGGACTTGGGCCTTTCTCGACTTAAGCGTCGAGTGCTGTGGTCGAATCGCATGCCGTGGGTTGCCCTCCGGTTCGCATCTTTTTCCCGCGCTGTCGCAAGGGGCGAGCGCGCAACACTCGTACGTCCAGAGAATGGAATTGTCCTGTGTATGTAGCGCCTTGAGCCTTCATGAAGGCTGAATCCTCAATGCTCGACCAACCGGCGACAGGGCTGTCGGAACCGACGCAGGCCTATTGCGTTGCGCTCCTTAGTCAAGAGAAGAGCCTCGGCGAGCTGCAGCGACACCTTCACAAAACAGAGGCGCTCTTCCGCGAGTCGGTCCAACGCAAGAACCAGCAGCTGGACCTGCTGCTCGCCGAGGTGCGCCGCCTGTCGGCCAACGCGGCGGGCCGGGAGGCCAAGGCATCCGAGCACTTCGAGTCCTCCCTTGACGCCCAGCGGATCGAGCTGGGCCGGCTGCGGCAACAGCTCGCGACGCGGGAGACAGAGGTGGGCAAAGCGCGCTCGCTCTCCTTGCACACACACACACACACACACACACACACACACACACACACACACACACACACACACACACACACACACACACACACACACACCTCCAACTCGCTCCAATCTTGGCCTCAGGTGGATGCCCTCGCAGCGCAGGTCCAGCAGCTCAGAGCGGACTTGGCGGAGGAGCGGACGTGGCGCGAGGCGGCAGTGGAGCGGCTTGAGAGCACCGCCGCCGACAGGGCGACGCTAGACGCGCAGCGGTCTGAGCTCTCGGCCCGGTGCGTCGCGGACCGCTCGCTGTTGGGTTGCCACGTTTACGTGCCAATCCTGCCGAGGCGCGGCTCTAGGCGAATCGAGTTCTCCGAGCTCAGAGCTCAACTAGCAGACGCGCGCTGCGCCACCTCACGGCTCGAGGCAGCATCGCGGGAAACGGAATCCAAGCTCTTTGCGAGAGAGGTGTGTCGCACCGGAGAGTGCCCGGTCCTGGCAAAGTGGGCGGTAGTGCACGCCCAGTATGGCATGACATGCAGACGCTGATGGAGTAGCACTAATAGTCCTTCCCCCCTCTCAGGCTGAGCTCGAGCGACTGCGGGCGAGCGAGCACGATCGAGCGCTGCACGAGACAACGCAGGCAGAGCCTCCGCGCTGCGTTTGGCGTCGCGTATGCCAGCATATTCAAGCACCGTATGGGACAGGCGGAAATCGAGGAGTTGAGGGCACGCCTTGACGGCAGCGAGGTGGCGGGGGCGGCGTCTCGTTGCAGCTCCTTCGGACAAATGCTTCGCCGTCAGCGCGGCTGTAACCCATAGGCTGCACGAGCGACTGAGCGCGACAGCATCCATGCGCGGCTGAGCGACGCGCGCACGGAGCTCGAGGCGGAGGCGGAGTCGATGCGTGCCGAAAGCGCGGCAGCAAAGGCTCGTGCAAGTGAGGCCGAGGCGGACGCCGAGGCGGAGGCCCGTGAGAGGGCGCGGCTCGAGGCGGACATGGGCGAGGCAGCGAACATGGTGCCTTCCAACACCCGTCCCTGCGTCAAGCTGCTTTCAATATCCGCGGTCTCCTGCCACGCATCTCGGGCTCCACGCCTAGACCGTATCTCTGGCTCGTGCGCTCGCGACAGACGTTGCATCTGCCGCATTGTAACGCGTCCGTCCACAGGTGGTTGCGCTTCAGGCGCAGGTCAAGGCGCATGCGCAGGCCAGGGAGTCTCTCGCAGCTTCCGCTGACAGCGCTGCGGCAGAGAGGAGTCAGCTCGCCATTGAGCGGGATGCCGCCTTGCTCGAGCGCGATGGCCTCGTGGCGGAGCGGGACTCGCTCGAGGTGGAGCTTGAGAGGGCGCGGAGTCTGCTGGCGACGCGGCGGCTCACGAGCCTCGATGCGCCGGCGTCGCCCGTGGGGGAGCCGTCGCATCAACTTGTCAATCAGGGATCGGCGCCGCCGTCACCCACCGTAGTGTCGAGATCGGCACCAGTGCCAGCGCTGCTGTCAGCGAGACCCACACCACTTCCGGTCACGGTGACAACCCCTCCTCTCGTGCCTGCTGAGTCCGATCCGCCATCTCCACTTCAGACACTCACATCCGTGCTGGCCGTGAAGGCCAGCGTGCAGCAACCGGAGAGTGGAGGCGAGGCTCTCTCGAGTGTCGAGGCCATGCAAGCTGCAGATGGGAGTGGCGACGGAGGCGCGGCGGCGGTTTCGGGTGCGTCGGGCGAGCCGGCGGTGGTGCGGCTGAGCTTGCGCGGCGAGCCTGTGGTTTCCTACGTGCTGACCATCGATGCCATCGTCGACTCGCCCCGCACGACGCTGCAATATGTGTGGCGCCGTGCCGGCGAGCAGCGGCGACTCGAGGGGCCCTCCTACCTCGTCACCGCCCCTGATATTGGGTGTGAGATCTCTGTGCTCGTCACGCCCGTCGGCTCCAACGGTCCGCTCCCCTCGCCTAAATCTCACCTCTCGCGTGGCATGGATAAGCAAAGACACGGTTGCCTTGTAGGGGCGCTCGGTGCGCCACAGCAGGCAGCGACAGCCGGTGCGGTGTGCGTGGCGCCCGAGGTGCCCCACACCCTGCGCGAGTGGGTGCAGCGGGGCGAGCGGCGGTTTGATGGCCTCTTCGACGCGACCGACCGCGAGCGGTCGCTCTTGCTCACGGGGGACAAGATCAAGGTGCGGGAGAACCGCAACAAGGTGGAGAAGACAGTCATGAAGGAGTCGCACGCACTCGCAAGGCTCGAGTACGGCACCGACGAACTCACGTTTATGCTCGTGCTGCCGTCGGTCAAGCGCGCCAGCCCGCTGACGCTGCGCGCTAAGTCGGCCTTCCAACGCGACCTCATCTACCTGGCGCTCAAGGCGTTCTCCTCGCCGGACAGCATCGCCGCGCTTCCGACCGCCGCGACGAGCCTGAAGCCAGCCACCGCTCTCGAGCTGAACACCCCCGAGCCATCAGGCGGCTGCTGATTTCCCAACACCCAACTAGATCCACACACACAACCCAAAACCTAGCCCCGCTGCTACAGGAGCCCGGTCGCCGGCCTCGTCGGTCACCTCGGAGCAAGCTGACATGAGCGACGCGGTCCGCAGAGTGCAACTGGCCACGAAGTTTAAGAACCGCACCCTGGGGTCGTTTGCGCGACGTAAGTCCAAGGAGTAGGGTCCTCGGCATCGCGATAAATTTTTGTTTAACAAGGTCTGTGAACCTACCTCTGTGTGTGATCCATGAGACAGGACCGGCCTCAATCCCCCCCCCCCCCCCCCCGGCCTGCGGGCACAGTCTCCCCCCATCCCCAGGGCTTCCCCAGGGCTCGCACCTCAACCTCTCGGTCTCTCGCGCAGCGCGCAGCGCCATACGAGGTATTTAATTGTATTTTCTTCTCAATTGTCAATAAGAAGATCTGTGAAGAAATCGTGTTAAAAGAGATGTAGGACCTTCCTTATGGTCCGCCTCCCACACACTGTTGCCCCCCCCCCCCCCCCCGCGCTTTTTCCCCTTTTTCTTCTAAAAGGTCTACCCAACTCTACAGTCTGTCGAGCGGGAGCTCGGGCTGGGGTGAACAGACCTGAGGAGTCTGACTATCCCGGATCCTGCAGAACAAGTTCCTCTTGTAGCTCGATCGGTCACCACCGCCATCGCCGTCCGTCGAGGAGAGAGAGGGAGGGGGGACGACACTGCTTCGGCAGCGTGCACCTCGATCCTGTACCGTGTTTGTTATGACCCCCTCCAATGAACACTCCAGTGAGGGAGGGCGAGACGATCGAGGGGTCCCGTACCATGCGGAATCGGCCCTATCAGCCTATCAAGTGCTCAAGTGCTCAAGTCCCCCGAGGACACTTCTCAGGGGACAGGGCCAAGTAAGGTATTTGTGAGGTATGAACGTATCGGGGTATCTATTTCCATCGTCGGGGTAGGCAGGTAAATCCTGCTGTTGCGCCAGGTATGCATACGCTGGTACTTAAAGATACCTCATAGACGCATAGCTAGACGTATGCTGGTATGGGTAGTTGAGACGCACATATGGCAGTATGTTGCAGCTCGTCTCAAGTACATAGGTAGCGGCGGTCGCACCCGCAAGTATGGGTACGGGGATACCACTCCTTACGTGGTCCCGCAACCCGCCCAAGTACCCAGGTATCTCGAGGGCGCGCTCCAGTATCTGCAGTATCTGCAGTATCTGCAGTATCTGCAGTATCTGCAGTATCTGCAGTTCTGCAGTATCTGCAGTATCTGCAGTATCTGCAGTATCTGCAGTATCCGCGGTATCCGCGGTATCCGCGGTATCCGCGGTATCTGGGTCGTCTGTGGCAACAGGCGGGTGGGGTGTGGCAGCACCACCCTCGCAGCCCAGATCTGCCGCCGCCCGCAACGCATCTATCTACCCGCTTCGGCCGTCAAGTTTTGCGTCGCTGCTGGCCAATGCCTCTGGCAGTGCATAATCAGCTTTTGGCAGCTGTTCCACTGAGGCTGTGGGGTGCCGCAGCCGCTGTTGTATAGCGCAGTCGGCACCCACCCGTATCTGCAGTATCTGCAGTATCTGCAGTATCTGCAGTATCTGCAGTATCTGCAGTATCTGCAGTATCTGCAGTATCTGCAGTATCTGCAGTATCTGCAGTATCTGCAGTATCTGCAGTATCTGCAGTATCTGCAGTATCTGCAGTATCTGCAGTATCTGCAGTATCCGCGTACAAGCGGCGAAGTCTGTGGTATTGAAGTATGCATACTTCGCCATACTTTGACACTTGTATGTGGGAGGTATGGCAGTATTGTGCCGCCTCTCTCGCAGTATTGCAGTCAGTACGAGGAGGCCGGACGCCGGTATCCGGGTACCGGGCGCACTGGGCACGAGTACAGCAGTACGGATACCTGGCCCTACCACAGTGTGAGTCCTTTTCAGGTATGGCAGTTTGGCGCTGTCTTCCTCATGTACCCCAGTATAGCCAGCCATTTGTCGCGTACGGATACTTTATACCCTACTTGGCCCTGTCCCCTCAACGAAACGACAGAACGAGCCGACGCCGTTGGTGCTATGGTCCTCGCCTTCATCGGCCTCTGCTGCGCGCGCGGTTCCGAGACGTACTACGACATCCTCGGTGTGGGAGCCGGAGTGAGCACTGCACAGATTCGAGAGGCTTACTACAAGCAAGCGAAGAGTCTCCACCCTGACCGCGTCAAAGGCAATGCGCGCGAGGCAGCCGCAACAAGGTTCAAGGCCGTGGCAGCTGCGTACGCAGTTCTGGTGGACAAGGAGCAGCGGTCAGAATACGATCGCACGCGGAGTGCGCCCCGCGTGCAAGCCGCGAATCTTGCTGCGGAGACGGCTCGCTCACACCCATCCAGGCCGCCGCCACGGCCACCGCCGAAGCCACCGCCCCGGCCGCCGCCCCGGCCGCCGCCGCAGCCACCACCCCGGCCGCCTTCCCGTCCACCCCAAACGCCTCGGTCGCACGCGTCAGCCGAGGCAAGCACGTGGCAGGAGAGCCCGCACGCGCTTGCGCGGCGGCGGCTTCACGAGGCTAGGTCAGCCGCAGATCTGATCGAGTTTGCGGGGTCATCGCCCGCTGGCACCTCTCGAAGCGAAAGCGCCCTCTCCAAGCACGTCCTACTCGCCTTCTACGACTCGCGAGATGCCTCGTGCAGCGCACGGCTCCTCGATGAGACGTCCGTCGGCTTTCCCTACCCCTTTGCGCACCAAACACAGGATTGGCACGGTGTTTGGTGGGAAGATCTCCTGGTCGCGGCAAAATACGATGTCGCACCGAACCTCGCGCCGGCCAATGGCTCGGCGTCGCTCGGCGGGCTGCAATCACCACTCTTCCCCTTCCGCTCGCGCTTGCAGCCGCTGCTCATTCGGCGGGCCGGCTCCCTGTACCTGCCCGCCTGCCCACTGTTCGTCCACCAGAGGGCTGGCGAGGTACTCGGTGCGCTTCTAGAGAAGGCTGCGGCCACCATCGCCGTCCACCAACTGGGGCAATCTGTCACTGCCGTGGCTTCTGCCTCGGATACACCTCATGTCCTCTCCCGGCGTCTCCTGCAGGCGCTCCGGCGCGGCTCCTCGAGCCACTCACCGCGGTTCCAACCTCCGCCTCCTTCCAAGCCTGGGTGTGGCAGCAGCTGCAGGTGGCGTCTGACCCACTGAGATGACGCCTCGAGCGCCTCACACGTCCCTCCTTACTTCCCTGCCCTCCCTTCACCTATTGTTCACCGCTCATCTATCGCTGCGACCTGGCTGAGCGCTGACTTTGATCGTCCGGACCACAGATCGAAGTTACGTTCCACAACTCTCTCTCGGAGCCGGTCCGTGTCAACTGGGTCCACGGATCCTCCGTCCAAGAGGTCGTCGCCACTCCCGCCCGCCCGCCGCCCGCTGCCCACCGCCGAGCCCACTCACTAACTCATGGCCGCTCCAACAGGTGCTGACACTTCCCGCTCACGGCCGAGCCGCTCGCTACGTCTTCCTCTCGCACACACTTCAGGCAAGCGCCCACCATGGACACGGCCGTATGGGTCGCTCTCATCGCCGCCGTTGTTGCCGCTCATTCCGCAGGCCGAGCGGCTTGCGCGGAAGGGGCCCGGTGTGTCTGAAAATGCGAGCCTCGCTATCTGGCGCGTGCTCGAAGGCGGCCCGCTCGAGATTGCTGCGCCGAGCTGCCTCGACGAGGACTCTTCGTGCGAGGCGTGGGCCGCGGCGGGCGAATGCGAGCGAAACACCGCTTTCATGCGGAGGGAGTGCCGCCTGTCGTGCGACGTTTGCGCCGCAGCAGCTGCCTCTGAGCACAGGGCCGCGGCGGTCGGCGGCGCGTCGGTGGGGAGGGCGGCGCGGGGGAGGGCGTCGGAAGGCATCACTACCAGCTGCATCGACAGGCGAGAGCAGTGCGAGGCGTGGGCGGCGACCGGCGAGTGCGAGAGAAACGCGGCCTACATGGAGAGCGAGTGCGGACGCTCTTGCGGCTGCGGGTCCGCCCAGCGCCCCAGCCCTGGTCAGTCGGGCCCGCTCTCCTCGCATCCTCGCCCGGCGAGCTGCATGGACTCGTTTGAGGATTGCGCTCGGTGGACAAACAGCCATCCGGCCGCGTGCAGCTCGCCGATGGCGGAGAAGCTGTGTGCCAGAAGCTGCGGCCTGTGCGCAGACACAGCGGAGGCGCCGCGTGTGGAGGCACCGACACGGCAGCAGAGGGCCAAAGCGACGGCCAATTTTGCATCCGCTGGTCAATGTGAGGATCAAGTGTCGACCTGCACTGCCATCATCGGGAGCTCGCCGCGCGCATGTGCTACTGCGCCGATGATGCGGACAAGTTGCCGGCGGTCCTGCGGGTACTGTGGCGATGGCGGCGATGCTGGTGGCGGGAAGGACGAGCTGTGACTGACTTTTTTCCCGCGTGAGTATAATAACGTATAAGTAACGAGCTCCCGCCCTGCCCGTTTTCTCTATTTGCGGTGAGTGGGCCTGGGTGCTCCCACTAGCCGAATAGGGGGTCTGTCTGCGCCCACTGACTCGCGGAAAACGGCCTTCTTCCCTAAGTATCCCCCGCAGCGGAGCGAAATATAGACGACCGACCCCCCGCAGGAGCCCGAACCCTGAGAGGGCTCGTGCGCGAGCAAAAGGCAGGCGTCCCAGGCGGCGAGGTGAGCAAGGCCTGGGCTGCAAGGATTGCGTGGTGAGCAAACAGCTATGGGCGTGACACGCACCGTCGTCCGCGAAGGCGCTGGACGCACCCCGAACGCAGGCGAGGTTGTCAAGGCTCACTACACCGGCCGCCTGAAGGACAGCGGCCATGAGTTTGACTCGTCCCGTGACCGCGGCAAGCCACTCACGTTTGTAATCGGCATCGGTTCAGTCATCAAAGGCTGGGACGAAGGTATCTCCGAGATGAAGCTCGGCGAGGCATCGACGCTTCACGTCACCTCAGACTACGGCTACGGGAGGGAGGGCGCTGGACCAATCCCGCCCAACGCCGATCTTGAATTTGATGTTGAGCTGGTCGCGATCGGCAACGACGCCATCCCAGGCAACTCGTCAGTCAGCACGTGCGAGGCGTTCGGCATTCAGCTGTGCGCCGTGCAGTGAGAATGGGCGCGGGGAAGCAGCTAGCTTCAGGCGAGAGCAGGACCTTCACGGATGGCGCTTCGGGTCGGCAATGAACAAGGCATTTCAGGGTTAGATCAGTATTGACGTCACCGCACACATCCGCACGAGCCACGAGGTCAGCGGCGGGCACTCTATCCTGACATCGCCGTCGTCCTCAACAGGCCAGTCTGGAGCGGACTGGCCCTGTGGCCACGGGGGCATGGCGGGTAGGAGGGCGGCTCATGGCAGGGCCTGTGAAAAGTGAGGCGTGGTCTAGGAACCCTGCTTTTTTTTTGAGAGCCTTCGATGTTACGAGGAAAGAAAGCAAGGCAGACATGGCATATCGCTCTCGGGCCCACAGACATCCCGCACACCCGCCGCCCCCGCGCGCGCCCCACCCCGGCCGGGAGAAAAGGGAGTGACAGTTTGGATGCAACCAGCACCTTTTTTTTGTTTTTCAAGGCGCGACAAGCTTCGGCCACAAAGCCCACGTTTGCGACGGCTCGGACGCTTGCCGTTGGCGACACGGCTCGGACGTTTATCGTTGATGCTGCTGCTGGCGTTGAGCCATGCGCTGACCATCCCCACTACGCTACGAGCGCATCGAGGGAACAACAGGATCGAGCGGGTGCGAGCCTACTGGTAAGCGCTCCGCCCCACGCCTTCCTCTTCCCTGTGCGGCTCCATATCCGCGCATCGTGCCGCCTCTCTAGACGCTTCCGAGCCTCCTCAGGCGGAAGGATGATGCCTCTCCTCTCGCACGCCGGCTTGACAAGATCATTGCCGCGGCGCCGGCGCTCGAGCGGCCAACCTACCAGCCGACGCCGTGGGCGCGCAGCGCAAAGGCCAACTTTGTGCTTGCGACGCTCCGCTCGCGCCTCGCCGCGCTGAGGCGGAACGTCGAGCCGCCGCTCACTGGCCGCACGACAGCGGTGCCGTCGGAGCCGGACCTGGGCGTGGAGTGGACAAAGGACGAGGTCGGCGTCACGCTACCGCCCGAGGCGCCGACAACACTCCTGCAGTCAGATCTCGGCTGGCACCTCGGCCGCACTTTCTCCGCCGCGCTTCGACGGCAGGCGCCGATCGTCATCTTCCTCCACACCATCACGGGCACGGCGGCGCAGACCCGCTGGCTGATGGCGGGCGGCGTCGCGCGCGGACGGACAGCAGGACACGTCCATGACGCGTCCCGGAACACTGTCCCGCAAAGGCGTACGCCTCGTCCCGCGGCTGGCGGGCGTGCACCTTTGTGCGCCGCGGGCACGACCCCTCCTCCAGGCTCACCTCGCCGACCTTCAACTTGCTCGGCGGCGGCGGCGAGGGCGGGCTGGGCTGGAGGGGGGGAGGCGTGAGGTCGAGGCGTTGGCCGGGGCTGTAGGCGACGTCAGTGACGTGCAGCTCCAGCTGGAGGCGGTGCGGCGGGCGCACCCCCGCGCCTCCTTCCTCGGAATGGTGCCGCCTCTCTCTCTTTCTCTCTCTCTCTCTCCCCCCCCCTCTCGCTCTCTCTCTCCCCCTCCCCCCCTCTCTGCCAACCCCCCCTCTGCTCGCCCCACCCCCCGCCTCTACTCTCCGGTGCCCACCAGCGTCCTGAGCCTTCCTAGGTCGGCGTCTCTGCCGGCTCGGGCCTCCTCATCTCTTACCTCGGCGCCGCCGGCTCCGCTACGCCCGTCGGCGCCGCGTGTGCGATATGCCCGGTGAGCAGCAGCGAGCCCCGCCCGCCCCCTGGAGCCCAGCCTGCCCCCGCCTGCGGTGAGCAGCAGCGAGCCCAGCCTGCAGCCCGCCCCCGCCCGCCCCCGCCTGCCTCCTCGCGTGCCGTGACAGGGCTGCGGCCACGCGACCGGACGGGACCGCCGCACACAGGCATGATGTTTATCAGGCGTGGGACGTGGGCAGCGCCTTTGGCGCGATGAGCGAGGCGCTCCCCGCCGCCGAGCGAGGCGTGCGGCCGCGCGCCGCGTCGCTTCACGCGCCCGGCCGTGGACAGGCGCAGCCCGCCGCCGAGCGAGCGATGCTCGCCCAGATCCGGAGCCGATTCGTCCGGCGGAACGAGCGGCTGCTCCGCGCGTATGACTCTGCGGCGGTCGATGCTTGCCTCGCCGCGCAGTCGTTGTCCGATCTGCTCGCCGCGCACGTGAGGGCCAGCCCGGGGGGAGGCCGAGAGTCATCGAGAGGAGGCGGAGAGAGGAGGGGGAGAGAGGAGGCGGAGAGAGAGAGAGAACGTCGAGAGACGGGCTGAGCCCTGGGCGGCCCCTCTTCACAGCGTGGTGCGTGGAGCAGGCGCCCTTCGCGATGCGGCGGCGCGGCGCGACGGGCGACGAGTACTTTGCTGCGCACGACCCGATGGCGGTGCGGCGGAATGTGAGCGTGCCGGTGTCGCCGCTCAGTTCGCCGGGCGACGCTGCGAACCGCAGTCTCTTCACGGGATGAGGCGTGAGCAGGTGCTAGTGCTCAACGCTGAGGACGACTTTGTGTGCCCCGCGTCGCTCGCCCGCCCGGATGCGAGAGGCCGCGAGTGGCCGGTGGGACCATGCGACGTCCGCGACGCGTCCACGACACAGCCTGTAGGTGATCGTCCGCGACCAGCCCGGCGTGTTCGCGGATCATGTTGGTTGGGCCGTGAACAGCGTCTCTTCACGCGCGCGGCCGTGGACAGGCGCCCTCCTCCTCATCACCAAGTCGGGCTCGCACGTCGCTTTCAACGAGGGGCCGCTCGGGCGCAAATCCTTCCACACGCGCGTCAGCCTCGACTTCCTCGACGCGGCGCGCGAGCTGGCCGCCGCCGAGGCGGCGAACAGCGAGGCGGGCACGGCGGAGCTGCGCGGCGTGGTGGTGCCCACGGCGCTCGGCCCCCGGCCGCCCGCCGCCGCAGGAGAGCGGAAGCCGCGCAGAGACGGCAGGGAGCAGGGCGAGCCGGGCCGGGAGGCGCGGCCGCCGTCGATCCGGAAGGTAGGGGTTGTGTGACGCTTTGCCGCGCCTTGTTGGAGCACTTTACACATTACAGTGCATATTTTGCTCCTTCTATGTACCATGAAACGTGTGACGATAAAGAGCTGAAAAGTGAATTGACAAATGTGTGGCGGTCCATAATCTTCGCAGTAAAGATTTGGATCAAAGACGTTACAAACAAGGGACATACAGTATTCTGCAGAGATGCAGGGAGGAGTTCAGCCTCGGGAGGAGCTCAGGCGCTTAAGAAAGCGCCAAGACTTGCCCCAAGAGAGGGGGGGGTGCCACAAAGGTGTGGCGGAAGGGTGCCGCCGCAGTGCCCACCGGTGCGCCCGCAAGGAGCGCCGGCCTTTGAAGCCCGCCGAGCCAGCAACCGCCAGTGCTGCCGCCACGCTGCCGGCCACTCCCGCGCGCACGCCGCTACTGCCCCTGTCCCTGCCGCCGCCGTCGCCTTCCGATTCCTCCCCACCGCCCGGCCTGATCCGCGGCGTGCAACGCCCCCCACGCACAAACATGGGCACACACCTCGGCATCGCCGACCCTGATGCCGCCGCCGCCGTCCCTGTCGCCCCCGCTTCCACCCACTTGCTTTACTGCCGACTCCAAGCGGGAGGCAGCAATAGCACGCAGACAGAACCCTGAGTGAGAACGTCGCCATCGTGTAGCAGGCAGGCCTGGCTAGCCGCGTGTTGGGGAGTAGTGTTTGTGTGTGTGGTGTACTCTCTCTCCACTCAGTGTATAGTGAGTGAGCAGCGCACGATAAAAACAGCTGAAAAACCTCGAAGCCCTGGGAGCCCTCCCCCTACTGTTGCGAGGCCAGCCGACGCGAGCCAGCCCGAGGCCAAACTTAACGAAGACAAAGAAAGCGGATAAGAAAGAAGGAAGGAAAGAAAACAGACAGGCCAAGAAGGGATGGGTTTTGGATCACTGGAGCGGGAGCAGCAGAGGGTTTCTTGTTGCCAACTTGAGAGTTGTTTTGTTTAAATTGAAATAAATAAAACGGACATCCCAAAAAAGAAAGCGTCCGCCGTTTCTTTGTTGCCAGTAGCACTGATTTCTTTTGCCAGAGAGCGGGACGCCAGCCTTCCGACGGCCCCGAGTCGTCGTCGCCCCAACACCCCGGAGGCGTCCCAGCCTTCCGACCGCCCCGAGTCGTCGTCGCCCCAACACCCCGGAGGCGGTGCAAAGAAATGCGCCGAGTCGCCGCTGCGGCCCGGCTCGGCGCCGCCGTCTCAGCAGGCGGTGCTGCTGCCTACTCCATGCCGCTCTCCGACTGGTTTGCGCAGCCCGCGCCGTCGCTCGAGGCGGAATCGCTCGTCTCAAAGTTTGAGCGGGACCCGGAGTGGGTCAACTGCACCACCAAGTTGTTGAGTGGTGCCGGCATGGATGTGGACAGCCTGGACGGCAGCGTCATCTTTGACACGCTCGGCGCCCGGACCAACAGCATCCGCCTCTACCAGCTCTATGCGAAGCGGGACGGGACTGCAGTCGCCGGCATCGCCTCACTGGGCAGCGGCCTGGACGGCCACCCCGGCATCGTCCACGGCGGTGTGACGGCGCTCCTTTTCGACAACACCTTTGGGTGGGCCAACGCGATCGGCCTGCTCAAGGAGCGCGGCGCTCTCGCGGCGGCGCTGCACGGGCCCGCAAAGCCGGCGCCTCAACTAGAGAGAACCACATACGCTTCATTGCCTCTGACTCTTCTCGTTAGCCGGCGCCTCACCTAGAGAGAGAACCACATACGCTTCATTGCCTCTGACTCTTCTCGTTCGCCACGTAGGCGCTCATGCGCAGGGGCAGCAACTCACCGCCGGCAGCGGAGGGCCCGCCGGGGCAGCAGGTGTCGAGCACCAGCCAGTTTGGCTTCACGGCCTTCCTCCACATCAACTACCGCGCGCCCGTCTATGCCGGTGCGCCTGCTAAGGCCGACTCGCAGTGAAATCTCTTCCCGGCTAGGCCAGCACACACCCTCGCGCGCCCGTCGATTTCGCGCCGCCGTCCTCTTCCCCCCCCCCCCCCTCTCCCGCACTCCTGGGCCGCTTTGTGCGCCAGGTACCACTGTGGAGCTGTTGTGCGCTCTCGACCGCGTCGAGGGGCGGAAGCGCTTCCTGAAGGGGACAATGCACGACGCCACCGGGACGCTGCTCGCCGACGGCGACTGCTTGTTTGTGATCCCGCGCGGACCGGGCTGAAGTATTACAGTCATGCGATATAGAGAGCGCACTTTCGCTCGTTCTCTGCTGTGTGAGTATTTGCCTCTATTGGTGCAACGCTTCGTAACCTCAAGCGACTGCGTCCAAGAAGGAAAACAAAAACCGACACGCGACACTCTCTCTCCACTCCATATAGGCTAGTGCTAGCCCCCCATCGGGAGGACGACCCCGGCTAGTCGCCGACCACACCCACAAAAAGAACCCTGCACAAAGATCGCAAGGGCGGGGGCCTGTTCCTTTTTACCCATCTCACAGTAGAGAGGTGTCCGTTTTTATTTATTTATTTATCCACTCCCATCTCACAGTAGAGAGGTGTCCGTTTTTATTTCTTTATTTATCTCCCAGATACGGTATAGAGATTGTCCCCCGCCATATACGTCGCCGTTCTCGGGGCACATGCTCATGCATCATGTGGGTTGAATCATGCTATCCGAGCGTCCTGCGTGTGTAATTTCTGTAAAGGCTAAGAGTACATCCTTTCTCCTGTCGACTCGCACGTCTGCGGAAAGTAACAGAAAGAGAGTCATCCGCCTTTCTCCGCGGACTACTGCAACATGCACGTCTCGCTTTTTTTACTGTCCCCATTGCCTCTATCCCTGCCGCCGCCGCCGCCGGTCTCGCCATCGCGCTTGAGTCGCGCCTTGAGGTTCTGCGCCTTAAGGGTAGCATACTCGTCCAGCCGTTTGAGCGCCTAGAGAGCCACGGCTGCGTCTCGCCTCCCCGCGTTGATGCTCTCGCTCGCTCCGCCGTCGCGAGTCGCACCTCGTCGCGCTCCCTGGTGACGCTCTGCACCGTTGCCAGCGCAACTTGCAGCTCCTCCTCTGCCTACGATACGGACTGCCGCGTGCGGAACGAAGCAGTCCCTTCCCAACTCCACTCACTACGGGATCGGAGCACCTTTTGCGCTCGCTCTACCGCTCGCTTCACTTCTTCGGACTTGTCTCCCTTCTTGTCTATCGACTTGAGCTGGGTCTCGAGCTGCTCCATCTGCAGTAACGAGGACAGCATCTCTGATGGGTTGGCGCATGGTCTAGCTGCGCGTGCAAGTCGAGGGTGCAAGGCCGCACCCTCTTCGTTGCCTTGTTCCGCTTCACCTTCTCGAGCTGTAGCCGCAGCGTCGACTCGTTTTGGATCTGCTTCGTCACGGCCGCGGCCTTTTTGCTGACCTGTATCGTGAGCGCGGGGCTTGTGAGGCTCAACGGAGGCGGCGCGCGAGCACGACCGTCGTTGGTGGACCATCGCGTTGAGCCCCGCCGCCACCTCCTCCTGCGCCATGTCCCAGTCGATCACCTTGGCTCCGAGGCTCCCGTCGCCCATGGCCACCTGCGGGTCGAAGACGTGGAAGACTTGAGACAACCCCAAGATAAGCCTGTCATTATGCTGGAGCGTGGTCTGCTTCTCCACACTCTTGCCGTTGACCAGACAGATGCCGTCCTTGGGTGTTAATGTGATAGCTCGCATAGGATCGAGGTGGTCGAAGGAAATCTCGCAATGGTTCTCGTCGATGCCCTCTCCGCCGAGAGCGTGATGAAAGTCGTCTTCGTCCTGCGGAGGCCACGACTAGGTCAGATCCGCAACGAGGCAGCGCGGCGGGGAGAGCTCACCTCCTCGCAACCGAAGGTGTGCCTTCCAGGGTAAAGCAAATGCACCAGCCTCCCGCTGAGTAACGCGTCCTGGTTGAGATTGCGCAGCGAGGGGTAATCCTGGAGATCCTCGCGTGACATGTCGAGGCCCAGCTCCGCCGCCATCTCCGACACCTCTGCCTCTGAAGCGCTCATCTTCTCCTCCCATGATTTCGTCAACTGCGCCAGCATCTCCGAGTTGCGCGCGAGCTGCTCAGCCAGTGCCGCCTTCTGTCGCTCTGCTGCCTCCGCCTTGGCCTCCGCCTTTTGCTTGTCCTTTTCAAAGGACTTTTTTGCCTCCTCCACATCTGCTGGCGCTGCCACCGCGAGCTTTTCCATCACCTTTGACAGCGCCGCCTCCGCCGAATCCGTGGACACAATGCCGGAGCCTGCCTGCGCGCTCACCCGGTCGAAGGCCTCCTCTGCATACTTGGTGGCCTTCTCGATCTGCTTAAAGTCCTCGCCATCGACTCCGTCAATGCCAAGGAGCGAGACCGCAGCACGCACCGACTTGACCACCACCGGCTTCGAGAGCAAGTTGCCCATCGCCGCCTGCCGCTCGCCCTCGAAATCGTACAGCACGTTGGCGATCGCCTTCTTCCTCGGCCCGGTGGGCGCTGATGGGATCTTGGTCATCACGTTCTCCATCACCTCGACCAGCTCGTCGTAGCCGAGGAGGCCATCGTCCCACACCTGGCTCCCCTCTGCAAGCTGGCGCTGCGCCTCCTCCATGGCCGCCTCGAGCTCTTCCCGCGGCACCTCACACTCCTCACTATCCCACATCTCGAGCGTCTCGGTCACCATCGCGATCGTGTCCTCCGGCCCCAGCCGACCGCCACCCGAGGCACGCAGCTCGTAGAGCCGACCGAGCTCCGAAAGGGCCTCCTCAGCAGCGTCTTTCTTGGAGTAGTCCGAGACCCCTGGCACTTGCATGATCGCATTCCGGATGAGCGTCTCCATATCGTTTCGCGAGAGCATGCACTTGGACGCCGCCTCGGCCCGCTCCGCCTCGATCCGGCGCATCTCTTCGATGGCCTTCTCCTTCTCCTCCTCCGATGCCGCCTTGACACCCGCCACGGCCTCCTCGATCCGCTTCTGAAGCTCCTCCTCGGTGATAGTCGCGCCATACTGCTTGTGCAAATCCGGCCCGCTGGAAGCATCCGCCTCTGCCGCGGACGCACCCTCCTCACTATCCGTGCCGCCGCCGCCGCCGCCGACGCCGCCATCACCAACGCCGGACAAATCGACAGCCTCGCCCGCCGATATGCCCATCAACATCTTGCGGAGCTTTTCATTCTCCGACTTCAGCTCCCGGATCAGCTTGTCCGTCGGATTCTCCATAACCTCGACGACAACCTTGATCTGCTTGGCGCGGTCTGCGTAGCGCAGCGTCGAGAGAGACTCATCAAAGTTGATGTTGGCAGGCGAGACGGCAGCCACCATGACGGTCTTTGAGTTGCCGCCGAGTGCGGACTGCAGAAGCTCAGTCAGCACATGCGAGCGATACGGGATGAACACCTTCTTTTTCGGGTTGTTGGCCTTTTCTGCCAGCGCCGAGATGACGTTGCCCAGCGCCGAGAGCGAAACGTTGATCTCGATGCCCTCCTGCAGCCGCGCACCCGTCGCGCCCGTCGATTCGGCGCGCTCGGAGCCAGCCAAATCGACAAGGACAATATCGGAGGCAAACTCCTTGTCGATGCCATCTTCTTTCTTGATTTGTCCGAGCGTGATGGTGACGATAGTGTGGGCGCGCGACGACGTGGCGTTCATCTGCGTCGCGCCTGCGTGGAAGGATCACGCACAGTTTATTTAGGGACGGTTGGAGGCGGTAAGAAGGGTGTGCTCATGACACCGACAGTCCGATTGGCGGTGCCGACGTCCTGCACCTTTTCGATGGCCTCGTATGACCCGACGGCCGACTTTTTGAGGCCCTGCACATATGTGCCCGTCTTGCCGTTCCGAATCTTGAGCTTTTCTTTGCTTTTTGGATGGAGCAGGTCGCGGAGCTCACGACCGTAGATCTCCATCATGGCACACTCCACCTGTATCGGCGATTCTCGGGTGGGGGCGACCGTGGTGCTGTCAAGGCTGCCATTTGGCAGAAGCGCACTTGGAACTTGTGGTTGGGCCCGGTCTGCTCCTTGATCCGCCTGAAGATCTCCTCGCACGCCTGCGGCAGACAGCGTGGCGCTTCGCTGGCGGGGGCTGGGAGGGAGATCGGCGGCACGCCAGCGAGCAGTAGTGGTGTGTTGATGGTCCACTGAATCAGTGGACGAGGCACGATACGGCGCCTGCGGGAGAATTCCCTTGTTTGATCCGTAGCCGACGAATGAATACGACTTGCCAGCGCCCGTCTGGCCGTATCTGTGATGGGGTGCCAGCACGCGGCGTGAGCGGGAGGAGCGTGCCCACTCGGCGAGGCAGTGAGGAGTTTCTCATGCCCCACTGGTCATCTAGCCGGCTCACGCAAACATGGTGCAGTTGAAACCTTGCCACGCATTCTCCAGCATCGTGACACCGAGGTGGTCGTACACATCCTTCTGCGAGGAATAGGTTGCTCCATACCTGATCGGGGTGTGACGACGTAAATTGGCATCCTGCACCGCCAATCCCTGCCCTCTTTTGGTAGGCTATCACGCAGACAATCGCTGGCTCTTTCGCACTTTGAGGGGCTGCCGCCAGCAGAGTTGTACCCGTTTTCGTCGGTTTGGAAGCCGTCATGCGACCAGTAAGAATAGTCGAACGCGAAGTCCTTTTCAACCCCGTCCTCCGGACTTATAATGGTCGTCTTTGGTCCCTGCGGGTAGCAGCGTACTATGTCTCAGGGCGACGCCTTGGCAAGAAGGTGGCCGACACAAAGCTCGGCTTTGAGTTTGAGGAGAAGCGACGCACACGTGTAGTGACAAGTGCCGCGAGCCTGCATGCGAATAATGCATTTGGAGTTCTGCTCCTTCTCGCGCCCATTAAACGGACGCACGCGCACCGCCACCTTGATGCTCTCCGCCGACATGGCGAGACCTATCCAGGCAGCGCGCCCCAGCTGGCGTAACGACTAGTTGGTTTCTTTCGCAACGTAAATTCTTTCTTTTGGTAAATTGAGAATCGCCTTCGGTGGTGGAACAAACATTGGGGGAAAACGCAGAGAGAAATGAAATCCGTCCGGCTCACAAGGGAGGGTGTAGAGCTCACAAGTACAAGTTTGGCCGGCTCACTTTCCTTTAAATACCCAGAGGCCCTGATCCCTGTCCCAGGATGTGCACAGACACGAGGCAGAGGCCTGACCCGGGGACAGAGGCCGGTGCTCATACACGGCGCTGCAGCCTACTCCTTGTCCTTCTTCTACTTCTTGAGAGATTTTTAGAAGCCTCTTCTCTCCTACTTCTTTGCTCGCCCACACACGCACACACGGGCGCCCACGAGCCTGCAGGGGTGCAGCATGGCTTCGGGCGCCTCTCCAGTGGCGCACGGCCGCCCGCGACTTCATCTTGAGCCACACGGCGGGCGTGAGCTGCCGCGAGCTGCCACAAGTGGAGAGCACGCCGTCGCGGTCCTCGAAGCGGTGCACGACCACCGTACCGTCCTCCTCGCGCAGAGTTGTGTACCGTTCCTGAGGGCGGAGGTGGCGGCAAGGCTAGGCACCGCGCTGGTGCAGGTGTGGCACCACGGGAGGAAGCTGCATCAATCGTCAGCGGAGCCGGGAATGCGACACCTCGAAGCTGGGAGGTACACAAAGAGGCATAAACCGAACAGAATGGCGGCCGAGAAAATTTTATCCGCGTAGAGAGAGCCATTTCCCCCACTAGCCCCTTGACCTGGATCTTCATCGCCAGCAAAGTCGGCAGCCTGAGAACTCGGAGGCTGAGCGGCGCTTTCGCGAGTCGTAGAGTGAGCCATTTCCCCCACTATTCGACGCCTCTTAGTCCCGAACCCAACTCGGCCTGCGCTGCTGCCTCGCCTCGACGCTCGACGCTCGAGCTCCGGCCCGGCAGCAGCGGTGCACCGAGACCGACCCCGGTTGGCCGCCTCCAAGCCGATGTGGATCACCTCGATCCTCTCGTTGTGGAGGCGCTCTAAGCGCTCGCGGGCTGCACGGAGCACGCTGTGTGGACACCGCGCAGCCCGCCTCCTTCTCAAGCTGCTGCTGCAGCTTGCAGAGAGGGCCGATGCCCCCCACGTGCCTCCGCCGCCGGTCGCGCCACAGGTCAGCCCGCCCAGCCAGCTGATGGGGGTACGCAGCACGGAGTGCCGCATCGATCTCAGCGCTGCTTCGAACATCGACCCTTCGCTGCAGCAACTTGCCTTCTCTGTCGCGTTGTACTTGCACCAGGCCACTGGCGGGGGCAGCGACGATGCCTCGTTCCCGGGCGGCATGCCCAGCCTCACTTCCCCGCTGCTCGAGATACGGCCGGGCGTCGCTGTGCAGCGCTGGCCTTCGAACTTTCCCGCAGCGGAGCGCGGCGGCTCGAAGCTGCACGCCGCTCTTTGCCAGGATTAGGCAAGGAAGGAGGTGCGCCCCCCGAGGGCGCGGGGGCGCAGGGGGCGGGCGAGCAGGTGGTGGCGCGCCTCGTTCGAAGGCGCGCAAGCCGACGCCGACGCGGGCTAGCCACCGGCAGGCGCTGGAGGTGCCCGCGGGCTCAGCGGGTGCTTCAGCTGCGGAGCAGGTCGCAGCGCTGCGGGAGCAGCTGCTCAGCGCCGCCCACCTGAGTGCACAGCGAGAGGCTGTCACGGCAGAGGTTAGGGAGATGACGTACATACCGTAATTTAAGATGTCAATTCCGCGCGATTTTGAGTGAGACTGTGAGCGGCCTTGAGAGGCACGGCGGGGCCGGGGAGCCCACCTAAGACTTCCTCGCAATGCCAATGCATCTGCGCCATCGGCTCATCACGCGGGACCACAGGCATGCTGGATCTGCGCCTCGTGGCCTGGTGCTATGCGGCTCGAAGAGGCAGGCCGGTTCAGTGTGGCTCATAACAAAGCTTTTGTGGCCGCAGTCGGCCATGGTTTGCGGCGCAACGCGCTGTCGAGAGGCTGCAACGACGATGGCCGTTGCCGGAATTTGCTCCGTTGTGACGGCGCACGGGTCGCGAGGGTGACAGGCATTCGTTCAGTCATGCGAACGTCGCGGGCCCCAGCTCCTCCCAGCTGGAGGACATCCGCGCGAGCATCACCGAGGTCCTCCGCACCATGGACAACAACCTCGCCAGCTCAAAAGGGCGGCGAGGGTCGTGAACGTCTCTGGCCCCGAGAACGCGGGCCAGATCGCGGCATGCGCTGAGCGCATCGTGGCGGCCATTGTCCCGGCTGCGAGTGAGCGGTCAGTCTCTGAGGACCGGAACTTCCCGGAAACTTAGCGCCTTTTACTTTTTGTGCTATTCTGCCACGTGCGAGTGCGTGCGAGTTGCATGCTCGACGTGCGAGTTGCGTGCGAGCTGACCGGCAAGTCGCACACGAGTTAGTTGCACACGAGTTGCGAAGTGCGAGTTGCGAGATAGATGCGAGTTGCGTGCGAGTTGCGTGCGAGTTGAGTGTGAATATCACGTCTGTGAAAATGTTAATTAAAGTAAAACGGGGGGACAACAACTCACGGTACGTAAGTGTCGTTAAGCTCGGCCAGGCGCGCAATCTCGCGCTCCATGAACGCCCTCCCCTAAGATGTGATCGCTCACCCGAGACACCTGCCTGTGACCGCCAATGAGTCCCCAGCAGTTCCGCCTACCCCTAAATCGCCTGATAGCTCGCCATGATGGCCGCCGCCCACTTCAGCTTAGCCATGTTCGTTGCGCCCGCGTGTACAGTAGAAGCGCGCGCAGCTGTATACATTTTACTGTAGTAACCGGCCACCAAACAAAATATCGCTCGCGCGGGGGGGGGGGCTGCGCGCGCCGAGCGTGATTTCTTTGTGTGAAATCGCAAGGTGTGATTTCAAAGAGCGTGATCCTTGTGTGAAATCGCAAGGTGTGATTTCAAGAGCGTGAAAATGACGTGCCGACCTTTAAGATATCATGCCTCCATAATATCATGGCGAAAACCATGATATGATGCAAGCGGGGAAATCCTGATGATCTGTGCTCGCCGAGTGATCTGTGAAAAACAATTTCAGATTCCGAGTAATCTGAAATTCATCCAATCGCCGGCCTGCGGCCGGCCTCTAAAATCTTAAATTCGGCGGACTTGTATTCTCTCGAGGTTCTCGAGGTGGATATCCTTTGGCCGCGTTGGGTAGCGAGGATTGGTGTGACGCGATCCACGCAGGCGTGTTTTCTGGCGGCCGACCGTGCTATTAGATTACTATTAGATGCTTAGATGCTTAGATAGAGCTAGAGCTCGGTGAGGCGAGTCAAACGCCCGCAGAGTCTTTTCCCGTTTCGGAAAGGCGGCGGAATTAGTGACCGACGTCCACAGTCATAATGACATTTCATTATTAATCTAACGAGCCCCCCCCCCCCCTGCCCGGCCCCCCCCCGACGACGACTGCGCCGAAGCAGATGCTCTCTTCACTCGGCAGAGTAATGGCCACAGGTACACCAAGTCGACTTCTATTGTCCTGTCAGTCATCCCACATCCGCCCACCACTCGCAAAACAAAAAACAACTCTAACCTCTCTCTCCCACTCGCCGCCCACACCGCGCCGTCGCGCGTCCTGTCGGCTCACGCGTCACGCCACCTCCTCTCGTCACAGGCACCTCTCGCCCGGACGTCTCTCGTCTCCTCGCCCGAGCGGCTCCGCCCTCCCTCTCCAAACGCTCGGCAGCTGAGCCGCCGGCGCCCTCGCCGCCCGCCGCAGCGCCGCCCGCCGCAGCGCCGCCCGCCGCAGCGCCGCCCGCCGCAGCGCCGCCCGCCGCAGCGCCGCCCGCCGCAGCGCCGGCCGCCCACCGCGCCGCCCGCGCGCCGCCCAGCGCCCTCCTTGCCGCCGCGCCTTCACATGATCCGCGTCCGCTTCAGGCCCGAGCTGCTGCCCGAGCCGCCGCGCCGCTGCCCTTCGAGCCCGAGCTCCGCCCGCTGCAGCGCCACGCTGATCTCGGAGCGCTCGGTCTCGCTCGGCAGCGTCCCGCGGCCCGCCCAGCCGGAGCCCGTCCACGGCGAGCCGCAGAGAATGAGCTCGCAGATGAGCCAGGGCGAAGCGGCGAGTTGGCCGCGGCCGCGGGCGAAGAAGTTCTTCGAGATGCCGGCGCGGGTGCAGTCGACCGGCGCCCACCAGCCCTTCTCAATCTGCTCCTCGTAGAAGGCGACGTAGACGTTGACCGCCTCCTCCCACATCGCCTCGGAGCCATACGCCTGCTGCACCTCCTGTTCACACCACACACGCGTGAATAGACACATCACTTCTCAAGCCCCGCCCTCAGGCGCGCGCCGACTCGGCGTAGGGGCGGATGTTGATCGGGTCGTCCTGCCGCTCATACTTGTTGATGAGGAAGATGATCGCGGCGATCCTCGCGGCGTGCGTCTTGTACTCGGCCAGGTTCGCCTTGAAGGTCTGCTTTTTAGTCTGCGTGAGCATGACCGACGGCAGGTAGCCCTCCTCTTTGCCCTCGTCCTCCTCGCCCAGGCCTGTTCACGGCCAAACTTGTTAGACCGTGTTCGTAGGCACCGAGGCGCCGAGGAGCACGAGGAGTTGTCAGGCCGAGATATGATTAGCCGACATATTTGAGAGATATGGATAATGCGCGACAGCCGAGATATGACCGAGGGATTGAGGAGGCGCTCGGGGAGATATGGCCGAGGCACGGCCGATACGGCTGAGCTACAGCCGATGCACAGCCGATGCATGGCCGAGATATACGGCCGAGATTAGCCGAGAGGAACCGAGATACAGCCCAGATGCAGCCGAGATGCAGCCGAGATGCAGCCGAGATGCAGCCGAGATGCAGCCGAGATGCAGCCGAGATGTAGCCGAGATGCAGCCGAGATGCAGCCGAGATATCGCCGCGATATCGCCGCGAGATACAGCCGAGGCGTCGCGCAGCCGAGGTATAGCACATACCTGTTCAAAGCGGAAGTGTGAGGAGATGCTGTCGATAGGGAGCAGAGTAGCCAGCAGAGAGCACCGTAGATGTAGTCGTAGAGGGGATTCTTTCGCATCGACTCCTCGGGGTAGCGGTCCTCGTTCCCAACGACGAGCCACCGCTGGTCGGTGAGGATGAGGACGCGCTCGCGGTCCGGCGTGGTGAAGTAGTAGCCGACGGCGCCTCCGGACAGCTTGCGCCCCTGCTGCTGGTAGAAGACGTGGGCGGGCACCGACGGGAGGTCCTTCCCATAGGCGCAGAGCTGCTCGTACGACGAGTACTGCGCAAAGTGCTTCATGATCTGCGAGCCGGCGAAGCAGTAGAGCATGTTGTCGGGCGGCCCGAGGCCGAGCTTCTTCCAGTCGGCCTCCACGCGGTCGTAGTGGTCGACACCTGACGACCTCGGGTTGCCGTAGTAGTTGCGGTAGTAGATGTCGTCGCCGAAGAGGGCGCCCGTCGACAGGAGGCCCTCGACGGAGCGCATCACGTGGAAGCTGACGACGCCGTTGACCGGGACCTTGGTGCTCTCGTATAGGTACGAGACGAGGCTGTCCGCGCCGTGGACGATATCGAGGAACTCGGCGCTGCCGAGCACCTCGCCCATCGTTGTGGCCCCCGCAGGCACGGGCACCTGGTAGTGCTCGAGCTCGGTGAGCAGGGCGGCGAAGCCCGCCATGAAGAAGACCTTCGAGCCGAGGTGGACGAGCAGCTCGAAGTGGTCGTCGCACCAGGTGCCAAAGGAGGACGGGTCGATCGCGTGCACGAGCCCGCCCCAGCACTGCTCACGACGCAGGGACGTGGAGATCAATCTCGGTCTATCTCAGTTCGATCTCGGCGATTTGTGGACGGATATTCTCGGCGATCTGTCGGATATTCCAGCCGAGTTAATTACGACTTGATTAATTCCGAGCTAGTTAACTCACAATGTGCATACGCTCGCCGCGTGTCGCTCCATCGTCAATTTACAACAGCGACTGAATAATTAATCAATAATTAACGGACGAACGCGCAGGCATCGCTCGAGCCGCGCATTATCCATAGTAATTCTGCATTATCCAGAGTAAACAGAGACGATTAATTAATTAATTAATTGATCATTAATTAACGGTGGTGAGGCTTGGCCGTACATCGGCCATCTCGATCAATCTCGTTTATATGTCGGTAACATCACGGCTGTATCTCGGCTGTATCTCGGCTGTATCTCGGCAGGAGATTGAATCTCGGTGTATCTGTGCCAGGTGGGGAAGGGAGTATCTCGTGCACGCACATAACACGCGTGATGCCAGGTGCGGACGAAGTCGTCGACGGCGGCCTGCACCATTGCCGCATGCGCGGGGTCGACGATCTTCTCCTGCAGCCCGCCGGCATCCGGCTCGCGCAGCACCTCCATCAGCTTCAGCCGCGCCACCTCCATCCGGTCGAGCTTCTCGTACCGCATGAGCAGCTCGGCGAGCTGCCGGTGGCCAGTGCTCGCTTGCCGTAGCTTGTCCGTCGGGACGGTCGTCCCTCCCTCTCCGACCCACTCCCGCGCCATGTGCAGGAGGGTGCCAAGCGCCCCCCACTTTTCACGGCTCCCGTCCTTTGAGAGCGTGCCCTTTTGCATTGCCATCAGCTCCGCCAGCCGCTCCGCGTGCTCGCGGTTGATCTCTTGCTCCAGCTCCGACGAGGCTTCAGCGGCGCGAGACGAGCGGCGCGAGCGGGTTGACATCTGTCACACGCGTCCGGAGAATGAGAGAGTGGTCCGTGGGCCCGAGGTGGGTCGTGCGCGGCGCGGCGCGTGGGCGCGTCGGGAGAGGGTGCAGGCTGCGCGGGTCGGGGAGCGCGATGGAGCGGGTCCGGAAGGCACCGGCCGGAAGGATGGAGCAGGCTGCTTGAGAATGTCGATGTCCTCCTCGTCGCGCGGGTCGACCAGGTCGGGCATCTCGTCCTCGTCCGCTCCAGCCGACACAGCGACGACGCGCTGGCCAGCCACGGCCTCGACTTTCTTCGGCAGGAGGGCGCTGCTCGTCGCCGTGGCCCAGCCGGTCACCGCCTCCAGCGCCCCAGCTCCAGACGGCGCCGTCGGCGGTGGTGGCGATGCTGTGGTCTTCCGCCGAGGCAGCGTCGAGCACCGTCTTCACCACGTGTGCCTCCGGAGGGCCGACCTCGTGCGACTCGTGCAAGATGCCGCCGCCCATGACTGTACCTGAGCGTGAGTCAGAGGGCGGGTGGAGGAGGGGGGGAGAGGGAGAAGGGCTGAGAGGAGCTGGCCGGGTGTGGGGCGGCGGCGGCGGCAGCGGCGGCGGCGACGGCTCGGAGGCTGGTGGCGGTGATGGTGGCGGTTCGGAGGCTGGCGGCAGTGGCGGCTC